TTACTGTAAGTGCTATCTTCTTGAGTACTGCTTTTTGCCATCCTCACAATTATGAAGGGATGACTTTTTGTTTCACAGTGGTGACGATCTGACGTCTCTTCTCATTAACACTGGGAAAGGAGGAAATAGGAGATTAGAGGATAAAAAGCATGTAAGGGAAATGTGGAGCTCATTGCTTGTGTTCTAGGAATAAGAAGCACCAGAGGTGAGGAGAYAATTGAATCATCAGGATGCTATAAATAATTCTGAAGTAATCTCTTTATCATTAGGAAAGTGAATTAGGAGAAGCTGATAGGGCAAAAGCCTATGGTTTGAATTTAGAAGAAATTACAGCAGTACAGGGTGCACAGTTTTCTCCTGGGACCACTGGGTGTGACTTGGTTGCACAGCTGTGATGGAGTTGTTGGAAGGGGAGCRAGGGAGCAGGCGGGGGCGAGGCGAGATGGGGGGACAGCCCAGCAGAAGGGCAGGGGAAGGGGCGTGGGGAGCGGGCTGGCAAATACCTGTGAATGGCCCCTGGCCGCTGGCAGCTGCCTCACGGTGGCCCTGAGGTGACCTATTTCTGGCCACCGGGTTACCCTCAGGCGGCTTCTTCCTYGTCCTCCTCCCGCAATAGCGCTGGGCAGAGCCCAGGTGAGCTGATCTCCAGCACAGCGTGAACTGCAACCGAGAGTTCAGTGTTTTAATTAGACACRGCGGGAGGGGAGCCAGGAGGATTTGGATCCATGAGCGTCTCGGACAAAGGARCGGCCCCCGACTGTTACGTACTTGACCTTGATCGTGCTTAGGCTGCTGGGGAAGCAGAGTTCAGGCAGTGCCGATGCTCAGGGAGCTGCAGTGCGGCACCCGGCAAAGCATTGATTGGCGTTCAGCAGAAACCAGGCTCTGTTCTTCACTGCTGAAAGGGTCATGTATAGTTATCTGTACAGGCTGTGGCAAATCAGAATCGCTTTTGGAGAAAGTCTGTTAAAAAAAAAAAAACAAACAAACCAAACTAATTGTGTTTCAGCTCACATTCACTTGCCATTTGAATGTCTGGCGATCTCCGTTAGTGAGAGTAAATTATTGCAGTAGTACTTTGGAATTTTATGATACCACCATGATTTTCTAATGTGTCTGCAAGAGCAGAAGTGAAAGTGCTGGTTACATTTGCTGTGCTCTGCACAGCCAAATGTGGGTTTTCAGTGATTCCCTGCATGTACTTCAGCCACTGCACTTCCACTCTGTGTGAACACCACTGCATGACAGTGCTCGAGACCCAGATGGAAAAAATTCCAGGAGTCAGTAAGACCATAAAGGGTCTCATGCTATTCAAAGATTACTGGATACAGTCTTTGTTCATTGATATAATTTTGTGAGGTGACTTAGAATAGACTGCTGAGGACTTTCATGCATCTGCAATGCTAATCCACTGTCTCTGCTTGTATTAGAAATGTTATCTTGCCACTTGAAACTGAGATAAGCAGGATGTCACAGTTCACTATCCCAAATAGCAGCGCAAAATGTTTGGCTCGTTCTTGTCAGTTACTTAGTCTCAGTAGTAGAGAATGTGCATTTTTCTGTAACAGCAAGACACAGGCTTTGTACTGAGTCCCCAGTTTTTCCTCATCTGGTGCTGTTGGCTCAGCATCTTATTGTTAGGCTTATGGATATAGATATTATTTTGAGGAGATAATTTTTGGACTCTAATGTAAACTTTTTGTCTTGAGAAATATCTCATCCTTTCTGCAAAATATTTGCATTAGATAGACACAGTCTGYCCCATAACTTTAGACAAAGCACACCCAGGCTTCCCTGTTGCCTCTTGCTCCAGCAAATATGTTCCTTGAATTGATGCCTGCCCTTTCTTTCTGGCACTGTGAAATATAGCTTGAGGAAGCAAAATCTGTTTCCACTGGTTTCAATCTACCTTGTCAACCTTTTCTGAGCTCCCTAAAGATAACAAATGTGAATGTGACATTTTACTGCCATGGGGCAGCTGCTATCTGACAAATATAAACTCTGGTCTGCTCTATAAATATTGATTTATGAAGAATCTGAGATGGGAGTTAAATTAGTATTGTTAATTAAAAGGAAATGTGAAGCTTTTTGGTGCCTATTTTTTTTTACTTTTTTTTTTAGTTGTCAATTCTTTATGAGTTGTCTATATTTCATTACCTGTACTGATTATTACAGTGGTTTGCCACTATATTTCATCAATATGTTGCCTAATCCTCAATTTTCATTTTGGTTTTCTGAGTGGCTAWTCTCTGAGAAACTTTTTTTGTTTTTCTTGGCTTAACTGCAGATGGTCTCCACCCTTTTTCCTTCTGCAAGTGATCAAATTCTCTCTTTGGATAGACTATCACTTCCCACCCATGCTGTTCTCAACTGAGGTTGGAAATGTTATTAATTTTATTTAGTGTAGGGAAAAACTTGGCTAACCCTTCAAAACAATCTTTCAAGTTCTGTAATTCAATAAAGTCCTTATTTACAATGGCCATAGCTATTTTTCTCAGTGCTGTCCAAATTGAGTTCTCTCTGGTTACAAGAGAATGAGGCATTGTTTTCCATTCTGACAGCAAAATGGTTCTATTTTATTTTTCAGTTCAGGAAAAGTGCAGCATAACCTTGTTTAAAATATTTTCTAGTAAAAGAAGCAGCTGTTACTCTCCACATTATGTTATTTTTAATTTTGCGCCAGGGACTGAGRGAGGAAGGCTGGCAGTTGTATATGACCTGATGAGTGTAAAACAGTTATTCTGAGAYTTGGATTTTCCAACTCTTTCCTGTCCCAATCATTGCTTTTTCTTACACACCAGCACATGAGTACTGATTTTTGTTTCTGTCCATTGATTGAAGTGCGTGGTTTATTTCTTTCTTTGGAGTCAAAATTATCTAAGTATGATGATGTGGATGAAAACACTTGTCAATAACTGCCATTTCAGATATATGCAGTGCCTCTGACCGAGGCTGGTTTTATGGAGGTCTCAGGTGTATCTGAAGCTGTGCAGATATGAGTGATGATTTCCTTGCACAAACAGATGAAAAGTGAGTAATGTCAGTAGGGAAGTTGTAAGCGAAACCTGTGGAAAGCTATACAACACTGAGGCTGTCGTCCCTTAGCACCTACAAAGAGCAGSTGGGAAGGAAATAAGAAACTCTAGATTTGAAAAGGAATGTCATCTGGGGTGACCTGTAACTTAGTGCTGTCCTTGGCAGTTTCATAGCAATTATATTAGATATCACTTGACTGTACCAGCAATGCAATTATATTTTACTTATCCCTTCCTTCCATCCATATCAAAGAAAAAATGAAAGCTGAAAAKTAGTTTTTCCTTCCTGTGGTAATTGTGGTGTTTTCAAAGCACTCTGAACAGGCTTGGAAGCAGCAAGGGCTTTGAAAGATTGTTTGACATGGGCCGGAATCTCCAGCAGAAATTTTCAAAGTTCTTTCTTTCTTATGAGCTGCTTGTTTGGGAGTGTTTTAGAAGGATAGCAATTCAGTGCTTCATTTGCTTCTGTCCTGCAACAGCTTGGTGATTTTTTTCCAACTCCTTGACCAAATGGTCTCAAAAGTCCTTTTACTCATTCAACTCAAAAGTCCTTTTACTCATTCTGTCTGCAAGTGTCAATTGCAGATCAGAGCCTCATTTGTCCAGAGCTGAATTCATGTCAAGACTTGAGTGCATCCGTCTGGACTCTCAGATACCTGAAATACAGAAACTGCCATTTTTGCTGCTTTAAAGTTCCATTTCCTGCCCACCATTGCAGTTCAGATGTTTTGTGAACAAAGCAGCAACTCCACTTGCCTTCTCTCTGTGCTTCAAGGCACCAGTGAAGTTGGCCTGAAGGTACTTTGTCCACAGGGCTGGAAGTGCTGGCAGCAGCCCAGTGCATTTTGTCTCCTCACCCCTGGCAGTAGCACACTTGATGGGCTGTGGTCACTTGGAGAACATGGCACCACCACAACCTGCAACCCCACCACCTGGCAAGGGAAGAATAAGAGGGGTTTGCATATGAGAAACTGGAAAAAATGGTGAATCTAGACCTTCATCAGTACTAATGAAGTCAAGAGAACATGGGCCTGCCTGCCACACCAGTGTAGGAAAGGCTTCACCAGCACAACTCAGACTTTCCCAGAGATCCCAGAACACTATTTAATCATTTATTCTGACTCTCTCATATAAATCAGATTATAATATTTCTCAAATATCCCATGGGGAGGGTTAGGTCACAGCTTGGGTTAGATTTTTTGGTGTSTCTGTTCTCTGTCTTGGAGATTCAGGTTTTGTAGATTTTGCTCTCAGTAGAAAGCAGAAGTTACTGAGGGACCACTCATACCTGGAAATGGACACCTGGTCCATCTCCAAGCAGCCTGGAGACTGCACTCCATCAGAAATATATTCTAGAGCAGAGCTATCATGAAAGGACCCCACCCCATCCCCACRCCACAGCTATTCTGCATCTGTAACTGCTACTTTGCCTTTGCTAGCGGTCTCAGGGCAAAGAAAGGCTTAGATGGAGTTTATAGGTATATATACACATACATGTATGAATCCCATAGATACATATAAATAGATATAACAGATACTTATATCTATCTATCTATAGATAACTGTTGCTACAATCTTTCTCCTAGATGTCTTTTAATTTTTTTATGATCTAGATACCTGAAATTTTCTGCTACAAGGACTTGTGCCAAGAGAAGACCTGAAGGAATTGAACAGTCTCCTCTGTGCCTCAGTCATGAGGACCTTTGTCCCTAGATGYTGCCTTAAAGGATCCCTGCAGTGAMWCAACCACCCCAAACCTGGCATTGCTTTCCTGCTGCTCTTCCTACCAGAGTTGTGCTGCTCAGCCCTGGGCCCTGCGGCCGGTCGGGATCATGCTCCACAGCTAAGCAGTAACTAAAGCTTCGAGTGTCCTGCTCACAGAGCGTCACCCGAGCATAATCCAGGCCCTGACTCAAATTGACAAGGACAGGTTGGGCTCTGAAATAATCTCTTTAAATAGCAGCAGCCWTCTCTGTCAAAGGCACTTCCCCCCCAGCCAGCGCTGAGAGCTGCTTACAGCACGTCGCCTGCYATTTCCCACCCAGGCAGTGCAGGGCTGACACTTCTCGCAGGCAAGTGTGTCCCCTGCCAGCAGTCTCCCAGCTTTGCTTTGCACCAGGAWTTACAATGAATTTTGCAGCACAGTTTCTCTACTTCAGRGTGTTAAAAAACAGAAGTCCCAGGGACCGCTACAGGGAAGATGAAGAGTACGACCCTTTCTGGCAAAGGTTGGAGAATATTGCTGTCTGACTTAGAGCTAGAGCGCTCCTTTATCCCCCTCAGGGGTCATGGTCAGCCCTCGGGGTCCACCCAGGGCCAGGCCCACGGACATGACAACCCCTGGACCCCTCCTGCCTCCTTATGGTGTCGTAGTTGGAGTTTTGCTTCACCTCGTTGTTTATTTAGTCGCTGTGCTTTATAGGTAATGCTTTCTTTTTCCTTTCCTTACTATCTTAAAAAAAACCAAATCAAAACGAAAAAAAAGCAAGGAAATTGTTTGCAATTTTTCATAATCTCCCAGAATTCTGTGGGTATGAGTTGTTCTTGGAGTTATCCACTAGAAGAAGTGGAGATTTGAATATTTTTAGCCTGTGGAATTCAGCWTTTGTATTTCTTCATGAGTGTGGTGTCAGAAATAACCCTGGGCAGGCCAATGGACTGCTGAAAATTTATCTTGGGATAGCCCATGTCAGATCCTGTTACACAGTTCTGTGGTTGTCTTTGTTATGGTACTTATGGTGATCTTAAATTCCTGTTTTCAGGCTTGGATGGTGCAGATGGAATTTAAGAGTCATCTGGTGCCGTTGTGTAGCATGAGCTGAGCCTGTGCACACACATTGCATGCTGGTGTTGTGCAACCTCATTCTTAACCTTTTCCATAGTTTTTTCTCCCYCAGTTTTATTATCTGGACACCACTAGTCCAATCATGCTGTGGTTTTGCCAGATGTGGTACAAACAAGGGACAATCCTCATTTCCTGCATCTCCTTGTCRCAGRTGTTGGTAACATTTAAAATAYAAATTGTTTCAGTGGGCTCAATGCTGTTAATAAAGGGGAAGGCAAGGTCCCAGTTGTGCAAAAACACTGCAAAAATGGCTTGCTCAAAGTCACCCATGACATGACCTGTTCTGCAGTACACTGTGAATCTCCTTTCAGCACAGGACCACTCTTTCTTCTAGTTTGAGTTATGTTTGTTCCTAATTACAAGTGAATTATGGAGATGTGTTAATCACCAGGAAATGCCCAGATTCAGAATACGTTCAACTTAGGAAAAAGTTTAATTGCTTGAAGAGTTTTAGCAGTCAAACGGTGTGCAATGTTGGATAATAATCATTTGACATTTGCTGTTGTGAATATCTTATAAGAACTTTTGAGAGGGATGGGTCTGTTTGAGGGATAGTTGTTTACCTCTGCTTCAACTCTTCCATGACGGGTGCCCTTGTGAATTCTTCTTGCTTTSTGATTGCTTTTTCTGATGTTATCTGTTTAGCAGCTGGCACCAGTTGCCATTGCCAGCAGTAAGCAATGACATGTGCATGGTGTGTACAGAAGAATGGCCATAGATTATGATCACAGATGAAGGCAGATATAGTGCTAGGCTCAGCCTSTGCTGAATCTGAYTTACTAAAAGTAAGGAGAGATTTTRTCAGGGATGATAATACAGYTTGGTTGTTYCCTGCATGAGCCTGAGCTKTCTTTGTGTTGGTTGCTGGTGCAGCATTACRTGAGTTTTTCAGACCTGTGTCTGTTGAATGGAGTTATAAAGGGCTGCTCAGTCTCAAGGCTTGGTTATTATGTACCTATCTGCGCTGGATGGTCACAGTGCTCACACTTTTGTCATACAGGCTGGTTACTAAGCCCTGATCTCTTTGTCTTTAAGACACTCTGATAAATAGCCCTGCGGAAGTCTTAGGCAAGTCACTGGATCTGTCTGTGTCCCAGTTTCTATCAATAAAGTTGAGCTAATATTTGCTGAACTTGCCTTTCAGTTTAGGGGAAGGCATTGGTGATTCATGTCTGATTTAACAATCACTTTGCATTGCGTTTAGGTATATAATTGTCAGACATGCATTTTATATTTCCATCCTGCATGTGCCACTATTTGGAAGGATACTGTCTTGAATGGGTGTTTCTAAGTACTACAATGACGCAAAATACTGGTCATTCAAGACAGTCATATTTGAGTGCAGTATTATCTTTGATCTGTTTTAAATGTTCAAAGAGATCTATCTAGTTTACTTGAAGGAGTTTTCTTGTCACCCTGTAATGGTATGCAGGGCACTCAAACCCTGTACAGTGCATAACCTAAAATTTCTCCACATCTTCCTGTGAAGATGACATCTGTTATGATGCTTCTTGTCAGTTTTATCTCAGCAAGCTTCCATTTTTCTACCATTTGTCTCTCATAAAGTCCTACTTGCTGAGATGCTTTAAAGGATCGCTGCTGTTACAGTATCTGGATGTATTTGGGGATGGCTAAAAGGGTAGAAGAGGAGTTGAGATGGAACAGGAACATTTAGGAGCCATTGAGAAAGGGGATTGCAACAAATGAGGAAAGTATCAGAGGGGTCTTGGAGACTCAGCAACCAGAAAGGTCAGAGGAGACAGCACTGGGACACGGAATTGGAAGGATTAATGGAGCTGGAGAGGTTCTGGGTAAAAGGGATTTGGATGAGGGAAAGGGCCCTCTCTGTCATATCCTGGGATTGCCTCTTTCTCACTCCTGTGAGAGGAGATGCCAGCCCCCAGTCACACTGCAGTCATAAGCCACGCAGACTGCTACCTGGAGCAGCCTGCTACTCCCCCTGCCTTGTCCCCTCTACATGACCCRTCTCTGCTCAACGCTTGCAGGAAAGAGGCAGAAGCGACTTTGAAGGGGTCAACTTTTGCTTTAATAAATATTCTGAACTTGCRGGCATCAGATCTGAGCCTAGTTATCTGAAAGCAGATGGCAAATAGGTCTAAAATGTATCTTACCAATGTCTGTTGGCCAGTGGGCTCCAGGAAAGTGCTCAGGGAGCCTGAAGATGATGATACTATATAGGTATGAGCTTAAGAAACCCCTACACCCAAAACATTAAAAAAGAACAGAATTYAAAATCCACATATAGAGAACATGTGCATGTGAGTTTGAAGTAGTATTCAAACTTAACATTTTGTCACTGCTTAGCCCAAGCTGGGCGGTGGAGTTGGAACTTTTGTCATGGCACAGGCCTGTAAGGATGCTGAAGTATTCTACAGAAGTTGTGCCTTTCTGTTACCGCCCACAAAAATCAGATTCCTTACCTGGTGTGCAACRAGCCAATAATTACACTCTCAAGAGAGCCATTCATTGTACTTGAGAGTTGCACAAGCCTGGGTGTTTGGTGTATGCCACAAAGGAAGCACATTAACTCTCAGTGCTTTTTACTATCCATACATTKTAACAAAGAAATAGCTTTCATTTGCTACAAGTTCTCTTATCAATTTGTATTTGTCTTCTATTGTTTAATGATTCTCTGATTTCTCATGCTAATTAGTCCTCATGCTCAGACCTTCTCTTCTTTTGGGTCAGTGGTTTCTTTGGTTGGTGGTCTCGATCTTCCCCTGCCAGAATTTTTACCGAGTCAGAGCTGRTTTCAGCACRGCTGCTGAGTTGGCTTTGTCAGTTTCTTCTTTATCTCAGGAATTCTGCCAAATGTCCTTAAGGCCCATAAATTCTGCATTTTTTGTGTCCATTATCAGTGTCAYRTCCTTTTTCCCAAGCTTTGTTAMCCTCCTCTGAAGTCAAAACATTGAAGCATGTCAAATCCTAAACCTTACCAAGGCAATTCTGCCAACAATTAATTTGATTTTCTAACACCAGACATCACTTAGAGCTTGTTAGCTGCTAAATGTTTCATGGATTAAATCTCCCTTCTTCTTGATTAGCCTTGAAAGTACACAAGGATCAAACATTAAAGAACATCCTTTCTTAAGGAAACAACCTTTACATTTTCTACCTAACACTTTCATATGATCTCCCCCTAACATTTATACTGGGCAAAATGACTAGTCTTCCACAATTTGCWATTCCCTGGATGTCTGTGGTTTTGYAGATTTTGCTCCTTCAGTTTTAGGAGCTGAGGAGATCCAGCACATCAGTTTAATCTGTTTGACCTTTTTTTGTGGCTGCTGAAGGAAGCAATCTGTATGTTCTTCACCTGATGGGGGCATGTAACTGTCCATCATTGCAGGATAACTGCTTGGACAGTTCTTCCTCTGTCTAACGAAGGCAACACTTGTGGTCTTTAGGTATAGTATGCATTATTGCTTTTTATACTCCCCAAATTATTTTTGCTGAGTTTATTATTTTCTTAGTTTGTTAATATTACTGGTTTTGATTTTTTTTTTTCCTAGTCCTGTTTAACTTGTGAAAATTATCAGTATGTTCAAAAAACCAAACTGGAAATAGAAAAATTATTCATTCCCGGTCGTTACCTTGTATTATTTTATGAGTATCTTTCAGTATATGCTGTCTTTGCATTGACTTTGAGATTTTAAAATATGTAAAGCTATCTGTTTAAACAAATTATATTTTTGCCTGCGCCTTAATTATTTATGGAATGTCTGCATACAGATCTTCTCTCTTTTTTTTGCAGTTATGCTGAGCAGCTGTTCTTGAAAAAGTAGGTTTATAAAYTGTATTTTCATGTTTCCTTTTACTAATCCCTTTAAAGGTAAAATGCTGYAATTTATAACCACATAACAAAGCTTGCCAGCTGGGTATTTGTTTTGTGGCTGGAAATAAACGGACCTTTTAATGAAAACTTTTGACAAAGTCCAAAAAAGGAGACGTTCCATTTGAAGGGAACAGTGTTTTATAATGCTGAGGTTTGTATTTATATTGGCTCAGATCTTCATCTGGTGGACACGATTGCTGGAATGGGGGCTATATTTTGTTACTGTGCATGAGAAGGCATGTGCTGTGTTTTTGTGAGTACTTGCATGCTTTGCTCTCTGCTTTGGCTGTTCCTGCAAAAGAAATCCAAACAGATCTCTGCTAAGTATGTGGAATGCTTTGGACCCAAGGGGGTCATTAATTCTCCATTTGTGCTATGGGATCAAACCTCAGCCCACATTACCTTGGAAGTTTAAGAGCTCCAGGAGGGTCTGTGGCACACACAGGTGGGCTCACTATGCAAAAATATCATTTGCCTGATGTAAATGAAGTGTGGGTGTAGAAGGAGAATTTGAATTATTCTGAAATAAATACATACAATACATATATATACAGCAGCATGATGATATCCCCTTGGTAAAGRGGCTTTAGACTTTAGATACAAATGTATGTTCATTTTCATACCAAGTACTGAGATGGTAATATTTCAGATGTTCTTCAAACCTAACTCAAGCTTGAAAAACCTCTGCATATTTTACAGCTGTTTGACTTTTGTTCCTCTTTTCCAATGGCCACAAGGTGTTGTCTCCTTCAGAGCAGATACTCGCTATTCATGAGAGTGGTGCTGCAGGTCAAGGACTGAGAATCTGATTTACTTCCTTCCTTTTTTTTCTACCAGAAAAAAAGGAAAACCTAAGACTAGAACAAAAAAAACCAATATATCCTTTTGCTCTTTCTATTGCAGATGCAAATATTTGATGGCAGTAGTGTGGTGAGGCATTACCATGCTTGTTTTTCTCACAGAATCCTGCTTCATCAATAAACTTCTTGTGGCCTTCTTTGGCTGGGTTTTTTATGGACTTTTTGTAGTTGATTGCAACAGATAGAAATGAAAAATAAGAATTTTTCTTCCATCTCAAATGCCTGTTGGCTAAACAATTTGACCCAAAAACCCACATTTTTTTTACCTGCCTAATTTTTTTTACTCTACATATACCCGTTTAACCCATTTCCAGTGTAAGAAATATAATTCATTGCTAATGCTTGCTAAACATTTTAGATAGTATGTTCAGAAATAGGACACATGTTCTTCCTTTTGAGGTGTTTGTGGACATCTGTGATATGGAAAGTGTTTTTTTGGAAGGGAGGGGTGTGGAATGGACTCTAACAGTACTGTGGCCTCTCAGATGCTGCTGCTGTTGTTGCTGGGGGCTGTGCTGTAACAAATTCACAGGGAGGCAGTCTGATCTGGTTCTCAGCTTTGCATTAAGCAGACTAATGTGCACCCAAACTAACATTGGAGCTTAGACAGCTGGAACACTTCATAAAGATGTTAACCCCAATGAAATAGAAATGCAGAAAATTATAAAATAGAGCTACTTGATAAGTTATTTTATTTGAAAGCAGAATGCCTGTTGTTAGGCTGTATCAGCTTTAGGATATAGTACTGGGAAAATATTTTAAATCACAAGTTGCAACATAAACAGGTTACAAATGTGTATGTACTGTGTTTGTTTATCTTAGAAAATTAGTGCTCTCATTCATTTTGGAGAGAGAAGACCTTGCTACAAAAATTGTCACCTGTGAAGATATGCAGAAGGATTGATGTTATTGGTCTGTTATTTGATTTTAATAATAAAACACTTAATATTGCCCATATTGTTATGTGAATTCTTCTGTGGAAAAATTGGAAATGTTGTAGGAAGAAGAACTACTGTCACAGATTATTGATACCATTAAGAAAATTGATGATGCTGCCCAAAGTGACAATTGCTCAAAAGAAAAAAATGTTGCTAAATATTTAAAAATTCTTTTTGGAAATTATTACAAAGCATATTACAGTGCTGATCACTGCTGTTAAACATTTGCTTTAGCCAGCCATGCTGATGAATAACTGCATAACTTAGACCCAAATTCTTTGAGGAAAAAGGTAAATATTGTTTTGTTGGAGATAATGCTAAATCTCTGACATAATTTAACATGTTTGTTTTTAGGAAACCATTTCTGCCAAATAGATGAATAGTGAGTCATGTAGAAGAGCTTATACTATCTGTGTAATCATAGCTACAGACTGGGGTGGTATCAGCTATTTTCCAAATCACTGGTCTTCTGCTTAATGCCCCTTTTGCCCCCCTAATGCTCTCCAAATTCGAAGAATTCCTAGAAGTTTTACATTTATCTGGAAACAGGACTGCAAAATGCTCCTACAGTACATTGTTCCTTGTGAACTGAAAGCTGTGGGACCATAGAGTCAGGCATTTGAAGGTAGGAAAAGTGGCAAATTTTTGTAGCAGTGTTGTCTCTCCTAAGTTTCTTGGGTAGGAAGGTTTTTGTGCCACCCCAGTTCTGTCTTATCTACACATGTATTTATCTGTAAAATGTTAAGTCACACATCAGGAGATGTAATTCTTTAGTTCTGTTGGAGAATATATAATTGTTATCCCTTATCAAAGTTATTTCCTTCCCRTCATGAGGCAGTTGACAGCTGTCAAGAGTGCACTCTGCAAGTATGCAAGGGCAGAGAGCAGACCTCTTGTGTACAATGCAGTGACATTTGTCACTTTTATTAATAGTTTATGGCAATGGTCTGCAGCAGTGACTTGCCTTTTTAAAAAAGATAGAAATGCATACAGAAAATACAATTCCAGTTATTCCAAAATTTTTGGAAGCACTGAACTAGGATCATTGCTGGTTGAGTACTGAGTACTAAGGAAGGTCTGGCTGTCCAGACAACACAKGTTATACATTTCTTATTTTCTTGGGTAGGACATTTTCCTAACTTGTCCACATGTCAGGTTATTTGTGACTTTTCTAACAGCTGGAAGGTTGCAGTAGCTTTCAGTGCACCTACAGATAGGTAATCTGACAGTAGTAACTCAGTCTGCCTGTTCAAGGCATGGAAGAGCAACTGAGATGTGCATCCTTCTTAAATGCTTAATGTCAAGCCTTTAAATCATTCATGCTTTTCTAACAAGTTTTTTTTGGTTTTTTTTGTTTGTTTGTTTGTTTTCAGGGATGACAATAAAATAAAGAAACAAGATATCCCAGCGCTTTGTGATCTTCACTGCTGTAAGGATGTGCCCATAAGAAATGGCCTTATTGGGCAGAAACCACCCTCCATCAATCCTGAGAGACTGAAGGATTTTGGTGAGGAGGATTACCTGAATGGCGATGTGAAGACCTGGGAAATGAAGATAGTGAGCCGAAATGAGGAGTTACTTAGGGATGCCCTTTCCTGCCTCCCTCAGCCAAGCAATAGGACCAGCCTGGCAAGCTGTAACAAGCTGATTCSATTTGAAGACATTCGTGCAGCAGCCTTCAAAATCCATTGTGGAGTTCAGAAAACCCCCTGCATGGTAGGAACTCTCTATGGTTTTGCATTCTCTCAATGTTTCTTTTCTTTTTCCTTATGARAGTTCATCGGAAATGAAGGAGGAGTATGTGTGAATTGCAGCAGATAGATCTGTGTAAGAAGACTCATGTTCTATTATTTGTATTTAACTGTCAATAATCAGTTTCTTCTTACCTGTTTACACTAACCTAAATCCTCAAAGATTGCAGTAACCTGTAAACAAAGGATAAACCACATTAGGCATAGACTTATGTCCCTGCTTGGGGTTAGCAGTTCCCTGGAGTGAAGTGGTTGKGTCCTGAAGGTGCAGCAGTTGTCCTCATTGCCACATGATGCTTGCTGCTCCAGAGATATCATAACTACTTCCCGTGTGGTTTTTTTATCCTTTAAAATAAGGATAGCTGTGCTTTTTGTAGCWTATTACTGAAGAAGTTTGCCTTGTGGTAAGGACATGGTAAGAGACAATTTGGGGCTATAAGGAGGTGCAAAAGATTTGGCTGGAATGCAGGGATGGTAGAGTTAATTTTCTTCACAGTWGCTKSTATGTGTTTTGGATTTGTGATGAAAATATTATTGATAATACAGAGATGTTCTTGTTTATGCTGAGCAGCTCTTACTGCCAAGTCAAGGYGTTTTCTGTTCCTCATTCCACCCAACCTGTGAGAAGGCTGGGGATGTGMAAGGAGYTGGGAGGGGACACAKCTGGAACTGCTGACCSCAACTGACCCAAGGGACATCCTATACCATATGACACCTTGACCAGCAATAAAATTAGGGGGAAGTTTTCTGGGGGCCTGTGGCTCAGGGCCTGRCTGGTCTTCAGCYTCTTGGTGGTGAGCAATTRTTTTCAATTGCATAAGCTGTCYCTTTTGGATCRTATKTATCTCTTTGTMATTTTGTTGTTGTTATTAWTTAWTTAATTAATTAATKATTATTATTAACTCTTCTTATCCCAACCCATGACATTTCTCATTTTTACCCTTCCAATTCTCATATTCCCCAGAGCACAGCGGAAGGGAAATGATCAAGGATAGTGTTTAGTTGCCAGCTGAGGTAAAACCATGACACCCCTCAACTTAAATAGTTCCTTTCTCCTGGGGTGTCCCTGGCAGATTTATGCAATCCAATTTCATCCCCTTTCTGCATTTACGTGTCAGGCTAAACAGTCTCACTTTCTTTAGTTTTCATGAACTATGCTTTTAAAATTATCAGAATAGAGGAAAACCTAGATCCCTATAAAAACTTGTTTGTTTTAGTGTGAAAATAGCCTATGACTGTTATTCAAAGTAATGTTCCTGCAGAAGTCATTAGTGCCTTTCATGCATTACTTCAAAAGCACAGAATGGTGTCAAGAGAAATACAGACAACCTTTATTTTAAATCATCATTGAGAGTTAAGAGCCCCTTTCAAGGACATGTGTTTAGATTTAAAAAGTGAGAATGACTATAATCCATTCAGTCAATTGAATGGAGAAACACCTTGCAGGGTGATTCCTAATCTGCAGGTAAGACCATGGATGGAACATCCTGATTCCCTGGGSAGGAGTTTGCCTTGGAGCTGACATACAGCACCATGAATGAATTGTAACAGGTCAAAGAGGTAGTGAGCATGAGCAAACAAGGAATTGGCAYTAAATAGGACACCTTGTTTGGCTACTGATGAAGGAGCTGTAAGGTTTGTGTTGTGTTAGCAAGAGGGAGGTATCTGTAGTCCTTAGATYAGATCACAGTGACTAAAGGGAAATCTTTCAGGCTGGTTCAATGAATCTTATGAGGTCACACATCGGGTCAGTTCAGCTGAAAATAGCACTGACACCTGCTCTGTTTGCTATATTTAGGCTACTTGAAAAAAAAGCCTTAGTTAAAGGAAGATGAAAAGGATAACCTACAGAATTAAAATGCTTAGTAACAAAATTAAAGAAAAATATCAATCTAAAATACACCTCCCTTGTGGTTAAGAGTGACTAAATGATATATTTTTTAATGTAGGAGACTTAGAAACTTTATTATTCACCGGATTCATCTCCTTAAATCCTTTTTCTGATTGCTCACTCTAGAGTCCAAGATTCTCTACAAAAACAAGTGTTGTATGTGAAGAGCTAGTAGTGTTTCTTGTATAATGTTCTTGTTCTATTTTKCACAGGCATTCTCCATAGATTAGGATGTTTAGGATATAAACTATTATCCTATTAGTGTACTAAGCACTTTCCATTGTTTTGGTTCTACAGCCAGATTTGCAAAGGAGCAGCAAGTGGTAGCTCGTGTGTCAGAGTTTTCAGAAGCAAAATAGAGAATCTGGCCCCACCTATGGGTGAGGAACATAACATATGCTTGTAAATCCACTAAAAAGCCTTGAAACATTCACCTGAAAAATGTAGTTTAACTAGATACTTTAAAGAAAGTATCTGTTCCAGAAATAYGTAGTTTATATAAATTCACTTGGAAAGTGCCACGGTCTCAAAAACATGTCAGTACATTTACTGTGTACATTTTATGTATGACACTGCCAGATACTGTTTGAGATAAATATTTTGTCATGCTGGTTTTTTAATCTGTCTCTCTTTGTGACTTATCTTAAATGAGGACTTGATCCCCTAAATCACCAGGGCCTCATTTGCTTTGGCAGCCAATAGAGGAAATGGAGCCAATTCTGAAATAGAGCTGCAGTAAGCCTGGGGAATTGGCACCCACAGGCTTAMCACAGCTCTGTTTCATAAGTTATCYTGTGTAAAACTCTTGGTTTAGTGACTATGGTAATAGGAACTTAATATGTTAATGCATGCTGGGAGTGTCTTATAAAACTTAACAAATATTTGCCATTAAAAAATTTTAAAATCATGTACTTTGGCCCTGTGTCACMTGTAATGTTCTTGCTAACTCCCCCCTGCTCAGGCATCCTTTCTGTTCCAAACACTAAGCTTTTCCAAACACTTCCTGCTTACACTTGCAGTCCTGGGAAATAGTTTTTTATTATTTCCATCATTCTTTGAGTAAGAAATGTCTTTACTAACGTTATGCTGGCCTTGGGATGCAAAATWAACAACATTCAGTAGTGAAGCAGCAAGTGAAGCCATGACAGGGCCATAATGGAGCTCAAGGGGSAATTTTCTGATGACTTTTGTATCTGTTAGATGATGACCTTATTTTTTAGATATTCAGTTCTGGYAAGTGCTGGAAGCATAGGTTTTGAGACAATTGAAAATATTTATTTCAGTGCCTGTATTTGAATATTAAGACTCAAACAAGTGCTCTTTTCAGAATTCTTAATGGCATATTGTCCATRTTTCACTGCTTTGAGTTTGAAAATGACTTCCAAAAAACAGAAGAATCTGGTAGGTAACAACAAACTGTCGTGTATTTATAAAGAAACAGAAGATGAATTTTACTTTTTTAGAGCTCATACATAGCAGTGAAATTCATGCCTCAACAGGCAGCTGATGGGGTGTGGAAGGTTTTATTAATAGTAGATATATTGCCATTATATTATTTATCTACTCCAGTATTCTAGGCTATCCAAGCAGTATGGAATGGACATCTACCTGAAGAAGGAGTTCCTCCAGTACACGGGATCTGTGAAGGAACGAGGTGTACTTCACCTTCTGATGTCATTGCCTCAGGTATAGCAAAATGTCAGCGTTCAAAAAGAACTAGATTAGTTCTGCTTCACAAAAATGGAGCAGGGTTGAAGATAAATTCACCTCTAATCTCCATGGAATMCTAATGTTTCTTGTCTTTGGAACCATTGTACTGAACACAGCGTGTGAACACAGGTCTAAATGTAAAATACTACTTTATTTACATTTGGCTGGTCTGCTGGTGAAATTCTTGAAAATGTTTGACACAAAAGCTTGCAAAATGAAAATGTCAGCATTTTCCTGTGGCATTTAGATGTACTGTGGTTCTGGTATGTTGAAACTACCAAACTCATGAGTGATGATGAAACTGAGTTACAATGAGTGATGACAAGGATCTAGATCACCAATTGATTTTGTAATGAATTTCAGTATTCTTACATGAATATTTATCATTTGTCATAGCAGGTTATTGAGTCTCTGCTGCAATAATTGTTATAATAGGCATGAGACAGCAACCCAGAGCAGTGGTTATTCCTGCCTTTCCTAACAATAAAAATTAAATCTTCAATTAAAAGGAAGCCTGAAATGAAAGGCAGAGCAGAGATATCAGCTCTTARGGACCAGATATCAACTTTTCAGTGATCAGCTGGAGTTTTGCAGCCCTTTCCAATGGAACAAGATTTGAACCCAGAGGAATGCAGGCACAGGGATTGTTCTTTGCGTGTAAATCCTGAGATCTAGACRTGTGTATGCTGTACCATAATATGATACAATCAGCAAGTAAAGGGAAAAAAGGAAGTCAGATCACTAGAATGATCCAGGATTATATGTGACAACTATGTGACACTATATAATGTGCAATAAAGCAACCCTGTTTTTTAGGATCAGCAAAGAAAAGGGGTGATCGTGGCTTCGGACAGTAACTTTTCCATGGCTGTTGCTTACCACGCCTCAGAGCTCCGTATCCCCGTGTTTGTCATCCTGTCCACCAGCACGGCTCCGGCCAGGGTGAAGATGTGCCGCGAGTACGGTGCCATGGTTATATCCTACGGCACCACAGCCAAGGATTCCCAGGTGCACGCGAGGAGGCTGGCACAGGAGAATGGTTACCTCTACCTCGAAGAGTGAGTGAAAGCCAGGCTCCTTAGAATGATCTGATTAGATGCTTGCACAGCTCTGCAAAAACAATTTGTTTCATTAAAATGTTATCACAGGTCATCAAAATGCTCCTCTTACCTGGAATATGGACAGTTACATGTTCCCAGGCWTAAATCAGGTCTTTCTAAAACAGTTGGGGATGGAAATCAAAATAAAACACCCTTCTGTTGCTCCAAATTAGGGAAATTTTGTGATTAGGGATTCCTATGGGCTAATATGATAGTGACTATATGTTAACTCTATAGGAACTCTGTAAGAAAGCATTAAGACTAATGTTCATTTCTGACCTCTCTATTTGGAGTTAAGGTGGTAAAAGTCAATCTTTAACACAAAAGGTGCAGTGGGATAATGTTGAGCAAGAGAAGGTTAATGCTCTAAGGTTCTTACTTACCTGGTGTGAGGAACAAAACTGATACTACCTTGAAAAAAGCTGATTAAGAGGCTGCTTCACACATATATTTAAAGTAGCTAAGGATGAGCATAAATCTTAGTTTGAAGAGTTTGAGGTCACTGGACAAGGCAGATCTAACAAAAACATARATGAGATTACACAGTAAAAAAACGCCTAGAATTGATATATTTTCCCTTTCCGCTTTAATCTGCAGCCTCTTGTACCTTTCCTCCACCCTTTTATTTGTTTGTTTGCAAGATTTCCACATTATCAGTGGTCCCTCTGATTCACTGAGCTAGAATGTTATTCTCCCCTTACCATTGCTGCTTCTGTGCAGGCTCTTGATGTTTGGATGGCATCTTTTTCTGTGAGTGCCTATTCCCCTCCAGCTCCCAGCACCGCTGCCTAAAACACAATAGTGAGTGATGTTGCTTGGAAAGAAGATCCCAGATGAGCAGAACAGAGAGAGGCCTCACTTCTTTCCCAGCTGGTGTATTGGGAAGGCAATACTAAAAACTGTACTGTTCAGCTGCTCTGTTAGTTCCASCAGCAGCCAGTGACACACAGCGCTGGTTCTTGTGCCTTGTCTGTCACCATGGGCACAGTCTTGTCCCAGACTGGGATTTTCAGTGGGGGAATGAGGTGCCTGAAAGAATTTTAAACACTTTTAGGCTGCTTTGAAAACCACAGTTTTCCATAACTTTGTGATTTCCAAATTTCTGTCAGCCATTTTTCAACTCGTGTTTACTTCCAGCTGGCTTGCATCTGCTATCACATTCGCACACATGAACTAAATTATTATTTTGTAGTTTTATGTTTAAACTTTCCCTCCTCCCCAAATAATGATTTATGTTACATAAGGTAGATGTTCTCCAGGTTCATGAAGCTCCAGGGACAATGTATGCGTAGGACTTCACATCCAACACTGAGGAAATCTATATGTACATGCTACCATTAATAATATTAAAGCACTCTGATTTATTCCAGGTTTCAGGTTACAAGAAACAGAGTTATTCAATCTGTGGCTATGTTTAATTGAAGCCTCACAGATGCAATTCTTCACTGAAAAAGAAAAAAGGAAAAAAAAAAAGCCCACTGCAGTTGTGAGCCTTTTCACAATGGGATGTCTGAAACATATTTTGTTAAGTGTAGACTGGGAGAGATTTCCCAGAGTAATGTAAGCCTTTATGGATAGACAGTCTTCTCCAGTGTGGCTCTGACACACATTCTTTGTCACTTGCCAAAGCCATTTGTAAAATACCAGCTGATCTCCCAAGTGTTAGAATGGAACTTCTGAAATGTCATTTCAATTTAATTCTTGCTTGCATAAAATCCCTAGCAATYTGGGTCTCCTTACCCAGTAATTCATTGTCCCCTTCCTGGAGCAGACATTACGTGACTGCCTTGGGCTGTACCAGCATGGGCAATGCCTGCAGCTGGGTGTGTCATTGTCAGTTCTGCCCATTTCTTGAGTGCAATTAAAATACTGTGTCATGAAAATGACCATGCAAGAATTCAAATAGGGGAAAGGTACTTTTTATCCACCTGCAACTTCCTGGGAAATCCCAGGAAGGAAATGTGATTTTTCAAATTGGAATTCARTCATTTAGTCTGCCTAATTGCTGCCTAGGTGTCATGAAATTTTTACTAACTATAGGGGCTTAGGACCTCATTGTAAATGCAATGTGACTATTGCCAATAACTAACTCAGAACCTCTGCAATGATGTGAGAAAGATTCCTTTGTGAATCAGAAAGGAAAGAGTGCTGCAGGTTGAATTACAYACCTTCCTTCTTTGAAAGCCCTTTTTATTCTCATGTAATTCCATATCTAAATGCTGATCAGACCTGGTCATTTGTGATCTGGATCTAGAGTAACATTTAGTCTGTTACTCTACCCAACAGCTTCTGAGCCCTTTACTTGGAGCAGATGGGAACAGAGCCTTTTAGCTGCCACCCCAAAACTTCATTGGGAARCTGAAGCCTGACAGCCCACCTTTGATTGCTGATGTATCACACATTTCAGAAGGGAAATATCCAAGGTTCTACCTTTGGCTCAAAAATACTTGTTTCAATCTACAGTTTTTAGAGTTATCTGTCCTGTTCCTTCGTTTTGCCTCAATGACATGATACTCAGAGATATGTTTGCTTTTATAAAGCGAAAGTTATCAGTCACAATGCAAAGAAAATCACCCATTTGTTATAAAAGCTGAAGGCCGATCAGTGAWCTGATGTTTCAAGTGGATGTTAGCAAGCAAAACATGATTATCTGAAACATTGATTCAAATTGCAGACAGCTCTCCACAYCCAGAGCAGTCTCATTTGGACAGTTTTCAGTTGTTAAAAAAGCTTTATTCCTACATTGAATATCCCAAGTCCTCATTCATTTTTGTAGGTTGCTGGGGCTTTCCATGTAACCATGGCAGCAGTAGCTCCACAAACTCAGATCTGAATTTTATTTGGGAATAAGGCTTCAGAATTATTCTGGAGGCGAGTGATATATTTTGTCACATATATAAAGAAAGAGAGCTCCTTAAGTATCTTGATTAAGACARTAAATACAAGGGTTCAGTTACCCATCCCACTATGATTTGTTGCCTTTGTCTTTAGCTGTGCTACAGGAGTGGAAGTTCATTAATCCCATCCTTTCCTCTGCAGTTTTACAGATTCTTGCCCTGAAGAATTTTCAGTGTCTTGACATATATGTGAGGTAACTTCTTAAGGACTTTAGTCTCCATCTTGCAGGCATTCTGCACTCCTAATCCAAGCCTCTCTGTGCACGTCTAACAGTCATAAAAGCTTTCCTAGTACCCAGACATCCTTGGGTCAAGTAAATCAAGTAAAATCATTGGATCTATAATTCTGTTTGCCAGAAAGAGCAGAACATACAGACAGCTCATAKTTCTTTTTGCATGTATAGTTCTACATTTATGTCATTGCTAACTTGTAAATAAAATGCAAACCAGCTTTTAGAAGCAGATCCAAGTCAGTCACATGACAGTATAGTGGAGTTTTCTTCCATTTTTTTCAATCTGTTTGTCCTTATTCTTTATATTACATTTGCCTGAAAGTATTTTACCAGTGAGTATTTTGGCATGACTAAAGCTTCACTTACCCTTCCAGAGTCTTCCAGAGTAATGGGAAGGTATCAGATATTGGCCAAGGAGTGAGGAAAGACAGCTCTGGTAATCTATTTGGTRTTTGTGAGGTTGAACATACTGCTTAAATCTCATGAAAATTTCCATTCATCACAAACATCAAATCCTCTGATCAGTAAAGAGCAGGAGATTTCTTTTTGAGGTTTTGCTTTTAGTTTGGACAGCAACATTTAAAATTTATGAACCTGAAGGAAGTGAAGGCAATGGAAACATGACTTCTCCCTGCCAGCTCTGTAAACACCTGATAACAATGGGAGTTAAATGCTTTTCAGTCTGAAGGTTCTTTGAGGGGCTTGTCAACAGCACAAGTTTTCTCCCAGTAGGTAGCAGTTGTGTGATAGTCCATCTGATGGCACTGTTCAGTTGCATCACCTCCTCCCCTCATGTGCTGCTAGTTTGCTCTCATATTTATCTTTTTCTACTTGAAAATAGTAATGTCTTGAAATCAGTAGATTGAATTATTACTGCATTACTGTGACCCCTGCTGATGTGTGCCCTTCCTTCCCACAGGGAGGACAGTGCTGTTTACCTGTCAGGCCTGGGAACCGTGGGGCTGGAGATGTACGAGCAGGTGCCAAAGCTGGATGCAGTGATCTTCCCKGCAGGAGGCCACTGTGGCTTGCTGGCAGGGTCAGCTGCTGCACTCAAACACCTCAACCCACATATTTCTGTAATTGTAAGTTGCCTTTCACCTATTAAGTGTGCATTTGGGCAGCTTTCACCACAGCTGTTTACAAAAGACGCTGGTATCTCATGACGCACTTGCAGAGACTGCGTATGCTGGGGCCAGGAACTCTCTGATCCCTTTGCTTTGCTTCAGAGAAGACTCTGTTAGAACCAGCCTATTCCATGGCTGCTTGGCTGSATTTAAGAGAAAAATGTGAGAAGGCTTTTCCAAAGCAAATGAAATCCAGTTCTGTGTTTTGAAATAAGTCCTTAATCAGAAAAATTTGGTCCTAAGTGAACAACAGAATAAGTTTGGTGGTAGCATGGTTGTTTTGCATTTTGAAATTAATTGTTGATTTGAATAGGAAACTTCCTGTAGGTTTTGCTGTCTACTTTRGTGGTAACCTCTGTTATAACTGGTTCAATAGAAAAGTGGCAACATCTCTCTTCTTCAGGGGGTTGAATCTGAAAGTTTCCCAGTATTGCAACAGTCCTTAAAAGCTGGCCACCCAACTGAAGACCAGGCCTACAACAATCATCACTTCTATGGAGGTGAGAAAATGCATTATTCCTTTGGAGGTAAAATAAAGGTTGTAACAGATTTCTCTAGCTAAATAATTTTCTTATTATTTCAGTTCAAATGTGTTTTAAAGGAATTCTCTGAAGAGTCAGAATTTATTTCACGTTGTAAGAGCAACATCTGCCACATTTCCCCCACCTGCCCTCTGGAGTACAATACTATTTCCAATGCACAAGAATACTTAGAAATATGAGAGTATTTATCTGAACATTGTGTATGTAAACCAGCATCTAAACCAGTGAAGCTAATGGGAAATCTCTTGTGTGAAAGACTAATTTGTGAAAAGGCAGGAAAATGATGCAGTGCTTAAATATTTAGACACAAGACTGTTCTTAGAACAGCAGTGTTTATAAATGGTGCAGTTGTTTCCATATCAACTGCTCAAAAAACCTCAAATATTAAGCAATTTAAGAACATCCTTTTTGCCTGATATTCAAATCTCTGGTAGTTTTGGGTTAAATGGGAGTTTTATAAAAAACTTCTAATTTCTCTAGGTAAGCTCTGCCTGTGTCTGCACTCTTAGCCAACTGTCCTGCTTTAGCTAACAAGCCCAGTGCTGTGTTTGGGTCCCCTCTCCTTCAAGCCTCATTGAACAATGAAAAGCACTGGGCTGCAGGGTCACTCTAACAGTGCAACAATGCTAGTGAAGTATCAGAATTTTCTTGAAGGACTCCAAAAAGGCAAAATCTTACTGTGAGATTTGGTCTCTCATTACCAAACACATTTCTGTCAAGTGAAAAAAAAATCAAGCAATTTAAGGTCATGTAACAGCAGTGTGCTGCATTCATTAAGGACAAAAACCAGCCAGGACTATAAAAAATATTGAATATGTCTAAAGTGGCCAACTTCATATTTTTGTCTTTTGAAATCTACAGATGTGAGTGGAGTTTGCTTTGGCAGCAATTCTTTGCAGCTGACTGGGAAGCTTGTGGATAAAGTTGTTGCTGTGAGGTAGGTGAAAAAAAAAAACAGTTGAAATGAAGAATAGTGCATGAACATGGTTGTGTATGAAAAATGTGCTGTGCCACCAGGGTATGGTGGCTCTCCAGTGGAGAGCAGGTTGGCAGGAGCTGCCATCATGCAGAGACTCTGGGAGCATGGGGATGGGGTCCCTTTCCTTCTAAGAGGGGCACTGAAGGCATTGAACGCAGACCCACACATCAGAGAATCACAGAATATCCAAAACTGGATGACATCCAGAAAGGATCAAGTCCAATTCCATACTCCTTGCAGGACTTGATGATATAACTAAAAGCATCACCCAGAATGATCCTTTGGCCAAAATTGCACCTGCCACCTCTATCTGATTGTGTTCTGGTTATAAAACTTGTCCTTGTTGTGAAGTCAGCSCTTGACAAACCTCTTCTAAATCTTCACAAAAAAGGCCAAATTTGTGGAATATATTTACTACTAGGATTTAGTCCATATTTCTAGTAAAAAAAGCCATCCTGTCTTTCAGGTAATAATGAGTCTGAGAYGTACATTCACCCCCAGCAGCACAGCATTCTCTAACACCACCTTGYGAGAACGGCAAGAACCCAGTTACACATAAATGCTTTTGGGAACTCTTTTGATTTCATTTGTTTTGACCTAAGTCTCTTGCTTTYAGGGAGGAGGACATCCTCATTTCAATGCTGAGATTGCTGGAGTATGAGCGAGCTACGGTCGATGCAGAAGGGGCCATTGGGCTTGCAGCACTGGTGGCAGGGAAGCTGCCTGACTTAAAGGGTAAAAGGTACAGCAGCTATTGCAAATGGAGCAAAAAGTATGGGACAGAGCACCTTGGTCCCAGGAAATGGTGAAAAGCTGCTTGTCCTATGGGTGACAGAGCAGTTCCTGCCCCAGTACTGGCAATGGGTCATCAGTGGCAGTAACTTCAGACTGAATAGACCAGTCACAGGTGGTAAGATTGTGTTGAACAACAGAGTGCCAGCCTGGAGACCTGACAAATCTCATCCTTTTCCCTGATTCTCAGATGTTTTGGGGAAAGGCAGTTACAGCTCCACAAGGCAATTCACACCTGCCAGGACAATATCCTGCTTTTGTCAGCCTGCTGTCTCCTCTCATTCCACTTGTGGAATGCAGCTCTGTCTGTGGTGGGGCATAGCTAGGTTGTCTGCTGCAGTCACCCAGTGGCACCCAGTGCCTCCCAGTCCTGAGGATTGTCCACACAGAGGGACAGAGGATTATCCTTGTGCTTAGTGTTGAAYGTGTGGGTAAGTGCTGCCTTGCCTCAGCTTGAGGACTTGGCACTTAAGTGGATTGAGCCTTGGCTCAATGTATTTATTTGGTCCAGAATGTATTTAAACATAAATGACCTCAAGACAAAATAAAATTTCCACTGCACTAAAATACTCCCGAGGCAATTCTTCAAAAGGTGCTGGCAGAGTACACACGGAGCAGCAACACATTTCAGTATGACTAAAATAAAAGAGAAAGGCAAAGGGTTGATTTTGAAGAGGTTAGGTTTGACTCTGCAGAGAGWGATCTTCATAATCATATGGCTCTTCACTTGCTCTTCAAACATTTCTGCACTTTTTTTCAGGATTGAGATGAATTCAATTAGTGGTTACAGAAAGCCTTGAACATACATACTGATTGTCTGATCAATAAGAGGCTGAAACTTAGAACTTCCAGGGGAGAATTATGTCAAATTTTAAAACTTGAAACCTAGACCTCCAATTCTTCAGCTAATGATCTCTAACAAAACTCAAATTTCTAGGAAATGCAAAATGAAAACAACACTTCAGACCAGAAAATGCAACCAGTTTCTAGGCCTTCCCTCCCTGCTTGCAATGGATATTGAGAGCCCGGAGCCCTCTGGCATGTAATACTGACTGAGGGGAGGTTCTAGCAGACCTTAGGCTGATTTTGATACAGTATTTATGATTTATGGTTCCTATAAACAGGCAAGTGCTAATCAAAATTCTTATTTTTCTCTCTGCTTTTAGAGTGGCAGTTGTTTTATGCAGTGGAAACCTGGAATTACATTTGYTGCAACAGTGCATTGCTCGTGCCCTGACCCTCGACAGCAGAGTGTGCCGATTTTCCCTTGTGATTGCTGACTGCCCAGGAGACATGTCAAAGCTACTGGAGCTTTTGGCTCGGGAAGAAGTAAGGTAAATCAGACTAATAGTCAGGAAATATAATCACAGAGTAGCAGAAAGATTATTAAAGATTGGGAAATGGTTCAAAACTTCTCTGAAGCCAAGTCTGTAAGTAATTAATTAATCAAAGGTTTTTTTCTTGTTACATTGCAGAAAAGCTTTTCTTCTTTTTTTTTTTCCATTCTGAAAGCACCTTTGTGGCATAGAATTGTGTCTAATTCAAAAAGAAGCAAAGAGAGTTACTGTCCAAACACTTACAGAAACTGTTTTGCAATGACAGGGGTTTGTCGTGATCTCTAATTTGTCCCTTATTTGATCTAGAGTTTTGGATATCAAACAAGAACGCACATTTGTGACGTCTGAGCTGTTCACCGTCCAGGTAAGATGAGATGCAATTTCAGTTTCTCTGGTAGTACTGGCCTCCCCTGGTTTATTCTGTTTTCCTGTGTTATTTATACCTGTGTCGAAGAAGTCCAGCATAGTGTGCACAGTGTGAGAGATTATTTCCTCAGWGCTACACAGCATCTTGCCAAACACTCAACAGGCATATAAATAACACAGGACCAGTTTAACCTGCTGTTGCAACACCCTGGTGAAATACTCCAGGTGTTGCATTGTTGTGAACCCCCTGACGTGCGTGACAGGGTGCTGGAGGGAGTGAGCAAGCTGCAGCATCCGTCCAGAACTTGAAGAGCCAGCTGTGTAGGCTGGCTGTAATTGTCTGACATGTTTGCCTTAAAGCAAYGTGGAGATCACCCTTACTCTTAAGGAATCCTCCTTCTTAACCAGGGCCTCAATTTTGTTTCTTATCCACTGAGAGCACAGAGGAAAGCCATTATTCCTTTGTTGAGCATTGGATGCAGTGACAGTGAAGTGCTGTTACCAGTTAATGGTGTCTCATTTGGTGTATCCCTTATTTCAACTGGTTTGGCAGAGATGTGGTCTTACTGATTCCATGCTATCACTGTCCAAGTCCAACCTGGCTTAGTTTGTGAAACCACAGGTGGAATCAAATTAGGGATCTTTGCTGAAGGCTCGTGACTGGGGTCCAGCAATGTTACTGGGTAAGCAAGTTCTTTGGTTCTGTCATTTAATTTCCCACCTGGATGCAAAAACCTGCTCAGTGTTTTCACTTGCAGATATAAAGAAGAGGTAGATCAAAGATTACTGTAGTACAATAAAGTTCATTAACATCTCTCAGAATGTGATATCAGTTCTCTCAAGCATCTGGGGCCAAGCCCACGTTGTTCTGCAGTGTGCCATAATGATAGGCCAGCTCACTGCTTTGGGTGACTTGGCGATAGCGTGACTCTTGCTACACGAGGTGGACAAATCCCTCTGACTGAATGACTCACTTAGCTCTGGAAACCCTTTTTACTACAGGATAGATTCAAGTTTTCAATGCCATTTTTATGAAATGAGGCTTGTAGTTTTTATTAATGCTATTAAGCAAATTAAATGGAATTTACTGTTTTAGGTTTGGGGTTTTTTTTTCTTTTTAGTAAATGAAGGCCTTGAGTGAAAAMAGTTCTATGTGCTATTCTCTGCACTTAAACCAGTGTATTTTTACCAACTGTCCACTTCAAGAATCTGACTGTGTTGTACTACAAGAAGATTKAAGGGAAGAACTTGCATCCCTGAATAATTTAACTGGATGTTGGGTTTGCATGATGGCTTTTAATAAGTCTGGGAGAGGCTATTGGATAATTAGATGTGAAGTRTAAAGTAATGACCYAGACGTACAGACCTCAGTTCTTTGYAGGCAACTCTATCTGGTGACACCTAGTGAATTGTGAAGCTTTTATTTTAAAAAAATTAAAACACATGTAATTAAGATCTGTAAAATACAGAATTTATTTTTAAGCATTTGCTCTGTCTACATATGGGAAAACCCMCATATTTTCRTAKTRAAGCTTATACATGTAAGGGRTGTTTTGCTTTTTTCTTTGTTGTTTCTAAGAGCCAAAGACCCATGCCATCACAACGTTTTAAGCTTATGTTATATAAATCACAGCATATAAAATTAAGCATGAATTTAAACCTGGATCAAGAACCAAARTGACCACCATGTGCTGAACTGGTGGTAAGAACAAGAAAGGCACTGCAGCTATACCCATTTTATTCTGACTTTAATGTGTACTTTTGACTGTGGATATGAAGTGTTTGACARAACAGAGCAGCAAGTGTAGATGCTTATTTGAAACATTAAATCTGTCCTGTCACGATTATTACTTCAGTATTAAGTCATCATTTTAGGTTTACTCCTTTATTTCCTAAGAAGAGAAACTTGGCTTCTAGTCACTGATTATCAGAATGATAGAGCTGCTTTGTTATTTATATTTTTTTCATTCTAGYGAAATGCCTGTCTGGGTTAGTGTTTGCTCATCTAGTGCATGCTAGAACACTCTGTGGGAAGATCCTTGCTGATAGTCTCATTTCATGAAACCGTAAGGACTTTCTAAAATGAAATTTTACATTCAAACTACACTTCTGGGGGGAAAAACCCCACTTTTGGAACATCTTACTGGCAAAAAAAAAAGAGATTTGTTTTCACTAAAAAGAAAAAAGGATGGAATATGTCTATATTAGACTAAGAAGTGCCTTGTGCAGGGGGATCAGCTGCTTGTGTTCTTTGGAACAATATGGGAGTTTCTTAAGGATTCTGCCTGCTCATCCCTCCAGTTTAGATTCTCTTCTCTCATCAATCATTCTGGATTTCTTTCTTGCAGAGGGCTACACCCTAATTCACTCTTACCTGAGTGGTTAGGAAACTAYTTCCAAAGTCCCTATATTGAAATAGATAACTCTTAGCAAATCAGAAAAATAACCGGTCTGGTAGGCTTCMCATTTACAGCTATTGAAGCAGGTAGGATGAATGGGAATATCTAGACAGAATAGAAAAGATCTGAGAGAATGAAAAAAAAATCACCTGGTATCACCAGTCAACTGGATACAGACATCTAAAGGACTACCCAATTCATGGGAGGAAGMTGCAACTTGCTTCTGTGAACTTTCTCTATTCTCTATCGGTAATATTCCTCAGAWTCAATTGGGGCAATTTATCACTTAAATTGCTTCCATCTGTAAATCTCTTTAAAACCATTTAAGTCCCTTTAATTTCATACTGTTATTGACTCAGAGAAAAGTCAATGAGCAAAATCAATAAGCAATTTAATAAGGTAAGGACATTCTTTGCTATGAAGTAGATCAGCAGCTTGCCTGCTAAATGAGTGGCTAATTTTTGGACTCAGGCAACCTAGTTGAAAAAAAAATGTCTTTGAACTCATCARCTTTCCAGAAAAGTCTCCCCCTCACCACTGAAACTCCAGCATAATCAGACTGGCAGGTCCAGGAGAGTTCTGCAAGGTCTTGAATTGTCCCAGCAGCTTTTTATTCTGTGGTTTTAAAGAACTTGGAAGAGACCAGCTGTAAAAAGAACATCCACCATATTACGTCTCCCTCTTGTCTGTGCAAGAAGTCATAAATCAAATGTTTCCCTTTTCAGTAATATTACACATTGTCCCACTGGTGCTGGAATTCCTAACTTTGTGTGGTGTAATACCTTTTTTCCACATRCAGTTCATTCACCTCAGGACAGAACTCAGTAAATTATTTTAGCCTGCTCAGGTCAATTTGAATAAATYAATTTGGGCCAACTTGCGTTTTGTAAAGGCTGGAAGGGAGTATTTTGGATTAGTGTTCCCAGTTGCCAACATATTCCCTGTTATGGTCCTGTGAGGCAAATAGAGAGGAGCAGTAGAGCTGAGATATGCAGAAGGATGCTATCTATCATTCCTAAAGCATTTCCTGCATGACCCTGGGCAAGGCTCTGTTCCATTCCCCAGCTGCAAAGTGGAAGTTCAGCACTCCATTTCTTCTGAGCCCCTCCCAAAGAATTCGGTCACGTTCTTTAGTGGCATTCCATGGCAGACTGTGGCACAGAATAGYCTGCCCCAGTTGGGGAATTAGAGCCTGGCTCTGGGAGGGTACAAATGTTCCTGGTGGATTATTATCCAATTTATGTAACGTGGCAGTAGCTTGTCCGTGCTCGTGCTCACCGACCTGAATGCACCAATTGCCAAAAGATAAGGGTGCAGGTTGCACAACCAACTGACAGCTGCTGCACTCCTTCTCAAGCATTCATTCCACCGCTCTGACCTTGGGGAAAATCTGGCAGCTAATCCCCAAACCATTAACTGGGYTGCTGTTACCAAATAATCTATAATGCACAGTAACCTACGCTGGGTGTTTACTAAATTATTCAKAAAATTGCCCTGWTGTTGATTTTTTAAATAGMAATTAAACCTGYTGTTTTAAATATRGAASTGAAACCAGTGWAAATAAATRAAGTTTTCACTCCTAACTCCAATGRCTTTCATGCAAACAAAACTGTAATGTTGCTAAACATGGTCTATCATACACACCAAGTTATGTAAATCCAACATTTTAGGAGAAGATGATGAATCTGATTTCTAGAATTAATGAAGCCGGACACAAAGGCTCAGCGGATGAGTCACAGACATAAAGAACTCTACTAGTTACTTAGGATTAGCTTTACATGGAGCCTGGAAAAGCACAAAAGACTGAAATCTCTTGATTCAGCAGTACTACTCACATTTCCTCTGCTCTCTAACATTGGCACAACATGTTCACCCACTGCTTTTATTTGCACAATCTRTGGATAGTAGGCATCAGGGAGCTGATGCCAAATTAATTTTTAAAATCTAGGAAATAYGATCTAAAAGGTGAAGTTAAATTAAATTAAAAGAGACTAGAGATGCCCACCCTATTCAACACAGAACTTTGCAAWTTTTTTCCTTTGGTGAAGTTATGAAATTTCCTCTGTCTGAAATCAATGTAATCCCTATGAGTATTTGAATTCATGCATCTGGATTTTGGCATTGCACAGTAATAACTTGTAATCAATTTTTTCCTTTTTCTTTTTTTTTTTTAGCCTTTGTCCTGCTCCCTCAATTATTTTCAGTCATTAAATGAAACCCACAAGCCATCAATATTCAGTGAAATCTCTTTTGTCTTTAATTACTTGTAGGCCTGCTCTGGAAAAAAAAATTACAGGCTGACTAAAGGCTTTGGCTGCAATCTGTCTTTTGATTACCTGCCACAGGGTGTGGATCTTTAAATGCAGTAAAATATCAGTCTCTCTGGCTATTTATTTATTTAATCCAGCAAGGATATGATATGTAGGAGAGAAATTCCGTTGCTATTGGGTTTGTGGGGTTTTTTGATATGCAGAAAAGAAAGGTGTGCTGTGCATATGTGTCCCTGCAGCCAATAAGATCAAAAATCCCATGTATAGCTCTGAGGGCTTATCAGTATGAAATATATTTAAAGTAAATTTTTCTCTAGTTGTCATGGGTCATCTTGTGTGGTGTGCAAGAAACATCAAGAAATAGGCTCTGTTATTTGTTCTTAAATAAGAACATTTTGGAGCACTTATTCTCAGGTCATCAATAGGCATGCAACCTCCTATAGTGAATAGTACTGGGGTGCTTCTTCATCCTACATAAATACAACCTCATAAACCKCCCCATGAACGTGAGGGGTGCCCTGTTGCACACTCATGTAAATTCTGCTTCCCAGGTGAAGCGAGCAAGAGAGAGCAGTTTGTGAAAGTAAAACTRCGGTGTAAATTGGATCTAAGCAAGAGTGTAAATTCTTGCCTCCCTTGCTGTTGAGACCTGTAGCTGCCCTGAGGTGTGTGATTCTCTCTTCACTCCTGCTGGGAGCAAATGTTCTCYATTCTTTTCTTTGACAAGTGTGAAAAACCAGGTGAATTTCTGGAGTTGTTTGTTTTCGATACTGTTACTATTATGATGCACTACAACATATTATCTCCCTTATCAGCTGTTGGATGCGGTGCATGCACAGAACAAAAAGCGTTTTTTCCAACCTGTTCACAAGCTCCCTGGCTCCAGTCTAGTGAGGTCTGTCTGCCTTCAATCAGGAGCAGAAAGGAAAGGGCAGAGAGGATAGTTAGCTATCGATCAAAATGCTTTCCCGTGCTTGCTCCCAGGGCACAGCAACTGCTTGCTGCCAGACATTCAAGGCTGAATCTGTCAAGTCCAGACTGGTTCCAAGAGCAGCAATTGATTTAGAGGACAAGCCAGGCATGATTGATGGAAGGGCAAAATGTGGCTTTTTTTGATTACAGGCTTCATGAGAGATGAGTGTGTGTGGTTGAAGATACAATTGCAAACTTTAGGAATTTTATATGAACCAGGGAATGGATAATGCATGTTTGGTACACTGGTGCTCTTGGATACTTTTCCCAATCATYGTGTTGTCTCCCCTTCCCTCATTATTACTTGTTCTCTATGACTGTCCTTCTCTTGAGACTAAATCCCACTTTTTTGAAGAAGAAATTAGCATCTAATTTGCATTCCCAAGAACCAAACAAATAGACCTGTGTTCAGCACAAGAAACAAAGAATTACAAGACCAGATCAGAAATGTGGCTTATTTCATGRTGGATATTTGAGAAGCTGTATCCAGTTTTCTAACTGGGTGAGCTTATGGCTATTTAGAATACTTTGGAGTGTTAGTGTTTTATGTTTTCGACAGTTTTGCTAAAGGTTTATTGTTATTTTAAAACAGTTCCAGAAAACATTAGCTCGAAGTTCTAAGTTAGAAATGTCCTTGTAAACAGATTTGAGTATTTTTTGCCTTGCTGCTKTCTAAAAAGAATGTTTCTGTGAGGTCTTTTTTTCCATGTGGCACTTAGAACACCAGAGATAATTCCAGTAGGGCCAGCAGTGATGGAAGTTAGGAGTCTAAAATTGTGAAGTATCAATTTCCTCCTACACCTTTCCATTGATGCCTCAGCTTTGCTAGTGCCCAGACTTTCAAATGATGGGGCAGAGATGTGAGTATGCAGAAAGGAGAGATTGTAGAAAAATTGAAAAAAAAAATGAAGTTATTATTTTCAGTAGCGACATGGCAGGTTTTCAGTTGTATTCTGGAAGCAAGTGAAGAATTTTTTTAAAAACTATCAAGATTAGTCCTGCCTGACTTGTTTTACTTAGCAGCAGTACAACCATAAAAGAAAACTAGAAGTGATGCAATAAGCAAGCAAAAACTGGAATAAAGTAGAAGGTGCGTAAGAAGTTAAACCAGCCAAAATATTGCTGAGTTGATAAAGAGCTGGAGGATAACTCCATGAAAGAGAAGAGAAGGAGAATATCAAAGGCTTGAAGGATAGAGGTACTGGAACAAACATTTGCTAGAAACACAGTGAAGTAGGAGTCAGAGGTGGGTAAGATGGCAGCAATGCCATGTATATACCCCAGGAAATGGAAAACAGAAACAACTAACAGACGTGTTCAGGGAGGCCAAGAACAGACAAGCATCTTGCCCAGAAGGCAGCAGAGGATCAGCCTGTCTTATTTAAATGTTGAAGGCCATAAATTAGGGCTTTTGGAAGGTTTTATGGTCATGCAGAAGGTCTGGAAGAGCTCCAGATGGCTGCAATGTCAGTTTTCTTACCTGTTTAGACAGGGGATGTGAGGTCCAGAGTTTTTATGTTGAGCTGATTGTTTTTATGAATACATTGTAGGATTAAGTTGGAAATGGCTTTGTCTGAGATTGCTCCCATGCCATCAGGAATGGTCCTAATTCTTTTTCCAGGTCATCTGCACTGTGGAGACCAGAGACAAGATCCACACAGCCCAGCTGAGGAATGCACTCTTGGAACGCTACCCCACAACTGCCTGGACTGAGCGGTGACGGGCACAGCGCGGGGGGAACGAGGGTCTCTCACGAGGATTCTACAGAGCCCCAGTCTTGAGGCTTTCAGAACAAATATTATCTTGCAAAGCTGAACAGTTAGCAAATAGTTTCAGGATATTTATTTCCTGCTCAAAATGTAGTAAATGTCTTTTGGCAAAAAAGTTAAACTCAAAAGGTTAGTTTAGCTAAGGGAAAACTCTTAGCCTCTGCTGCTGTTGGATTTCCATAATTCATTGTCAGCTGGCTGCCTGGATTTTAGCTAGTTTGTAGAATCCAATGATATTCCAYAAACAAACAAGGAGAAGGCATTTCTCTCTGCATCTGAATAAAGACCTCTCAAAGATATTTTGATGCCCCTTGTTACAGTAATGCAGCTCCTTCTGGTGGTCTTTGACACACTGCAAGTACAGAACTTGTGTGTTTCCAAGCCAGAAGCAGTTTTCTGCTTGTGAGATCTGCTTCAGGAGATATGTACATGTGTGTGGGTTTGAACACATATCTGTTTTGATCTTTGCTACCATGTGAGGAAAAATTGTGCTAATAACATACAATTTAAACATAAACCAAAAACCCTTGGAAGATAAAAGCCAATATTTTATAAAATTATTTTTTCCCGAGGGAAAATGATCCTATTTGCAAAATAAAATTCCAAAATAKTTTGCAGGAATTGAAAAAAAAAAGTACTGAGTATGATTAGACCTCATAAACACAACACAAATGTAYTTCTTCCCTCTGCTTTTGGAGACTCAATATTAAAAGTAGCATATAAACWCTTGTGTGTTTCTGTATAAAAAGGAGTCTCTCCACTCATGTGAATTTTGTAATGAGCATTCCACTGATCATCTTAGTCTGTCTAAAACAGGCTCTATCCATCTCACCTGACAGATTAGGCACACTGTTAATAGTGACATATATTTAAAGGCCACATGCTAATAGCCAAAGGCAGTGCAGGGAGAAGAGGAAGCCTAAGTCTCAGGCACATGGCTAATGCAATTAAYAAAGAACACATTGACCTAAATACCATTTTTATCACTACAGGCAGAGGCCAACTAAGAATGCAACAGTGGGATGGCAAGAACTGGAAGAGAAATTCAGGCCCTCTTCTGAATGTGCACATAACATAGTTGTGCCTTTTCTTTTGGGCAGAATTCACATTAAGCCCCAGGAAGAGCTTTTAGCACCTTACAGTACCGAAGGGGGCCTACAGGAAAGCTGCTTGGAGGGATGGGACAAGGGGCAATTGCTCTCAAGTGAAAGAGGACTGGTTTAGATTGGGTTTTAGGAAGAAATTCTTTATTGTGTGGGTGATGAGGCACTGACACAGTTTGCCCAGAAAAGTTATGGATGCCCCATGCATGGAAGGATTCAAGGGCAGGCTAGATGGGGCTTTGAGCACTCTGGTCTAGTGAAAGGTGTCCCTGCCCATGGTAGGGAGGTTGGAACTAAATGATCTTTAAGGTCTCTTCCAGCCCAAGCCATTCTGTGGTTTTGTGATCCATCTCTCTCTGTGTTGCTCAGCTTGTAAGGGCAAGGTGGGGTGAGGAGGGGCAGCATTATGGCTGCCCATAATAATATTGTCTCTGCAGTATTATTTTTCTGGGAAATACTCTATTTGCTCCTTCTTGTTGTGGCTCCAAAAGAAGCAGGAGTCCACAAATGTTGAATAAAAAATAGGAGTTTACAGATTTGGTCTGGTTTGGAAGAGCCATATTGGTTTGCACACAGAACTGAAAACTGTTGATGCCCCAATAGTTTTGTTCCCTGACTGTCATCCAGAATGGGGGGTATAGGCCTGGGTCCTGTAAATCACAGCCTGTCAGACACAACTCCTTTCTCCGTGGTCAGAAAGGTTGTCTCATTGGCGTAAAAGATAAAATCTAGATCTTCCAAGGGAAAAAAAAGCCTCGAAATTAAACACATGAATGAATGTATGCAATTGGAAAGAATAATGAAATACCTGTGCKGCTAACCTTTTCCTTTTATAGTATAATAAGATCTATTGCATTTCAAAGATCTAATAATGTGGTTTTGAATGTTTCATTTGAAGAAGTATTTTTATATAGTGTTCTTATGTACCTTGAAAAATAACTTTAATGATTATGTAAAAATTTTCCAAGTGGTTAAATCAGCAAAATATAAATCTATACATTGTATTTATTTGAGAAATAATTAAAACTGTGCTGCGCCACCTCAGTAATGAAAGATTGGTCATTCTCCTGTGTGATAATGATAGCAGCCTCATTTTAAAAAATCAGGTTTTTTTTTTCTTTTCTTTTATCTGTCATTGACATTGGCTCAAAATCCACATTATTTATGCAAGGGGGAACTCTGAGCTGCCAGGAAGGAGAGCACAGCTGGGCCTGTGGGGTGGCAGGGGAGGCTCTGGACTGCTCCCAGCACAGGACAAGTGCAGCACGGACTCTCCAGCACCTTAGGGAGAGGTGCTGCTCCTGGCACTGGGCCTTGCCTGTACCTGGCAGCTCCTGGGCAGTGGGAGGCTCTGGGTGCAGGGTGTCCCAGGCTGGGCTTGTATGGGGGAGTAAAGACCCTCAGGGATTCTCACAACAATTATCACCAGTTTTGGTGAACYAGTCCTTCAGTTCACCATCTTGCCTGTGGTGGCAGAAGATGCCTTGACCTGGGTGGTGGCACTGGGACTGAGCCCCTTGGCTTTGGGAGCTGTCCTAGGGACACACTGTTCATCAGGGGCACAGCACAACTTCTTCCAGGACTGATGCAAACAAGGTGTACCTTTAATTGAAGCAAAATCCTTTCCCACACTGATGCCTTAATTTCTTCAGCCAGGTCCTGCTAGCTCGGGATTAACATCTAAAGCTCTGCCAGCACATGTTTTTGCAGCATCAAGGTGGCATGTCCTCACTTGCCTTCTGGCCTGCTGCTTTTGGGACATCCACAAACTCCACATCCCACAATGCAGTAAGTGCATTTGATGTATTACTGTCAAACTTTTGCTAAACCCAAACATAGGCATATAGATTTGTGAATGGAAAAGCAAACTGCAGCACTCTGGGGTTGGGCTGTAATTCCTGCCAGTCATTTATTTGGATGCTTTGGTTGTCCTGTCGCTTTCTCTGCTGTTTGTGTAACTGTAAGCAGTCCACCGTGTTTGGGGTATTGACATTTGTAGAGTTTTCTTCTATTACAGACCTTTGCTTTCTGGTGCTCCCAAGCTTGTGCTACATATCAAAGGAGGAGAAATCCTTCTGTACATTGTGCCCTCCTGAGTTGATGAATTTCCCATTGTTCAAAAGCATTTGTTTATTTATTTATTTATTTATTTAAAAGCTGCAGCAAAACTCGGTGGTGGTATTTGGAAAATATTCTAATAAAATATGAATGTATTGAAGTATGTTCAGTAATGATCAGCAAGATCCCTAAGCCTGTACAGCTTGTCATCTGAACAAAGGAAGAGTCCATTCACACCTGAGTGCATCCACAAAAAGTCTACGAGGTGGTTAGTTCCAAAGTTGGGCGCAGCAGACTCCTGTTGTGTTTAGAAAAATCTAGGTCAGCATGAAAAAGAGGCAAAGCAACAAAACATATTGACATTCTGAGAAAAGTTTTTCATCGTTCCCTCACAAAAATGAGCTATAGCCCTGAAGTCTTTTGAAGTAGTTCTTGAGAATGGGTGGGAGACCTCCCACTCTGCCTCTGTTTAGGTTGAGGTTTCTAAGCTGATGTTACATATCCTGATCCAGACATCCAGATCTTCACAGAGCTTGATTTGAGCAGTGATTTGCCAAACATGCTGATCTGGATTACTGGCCTTTAAGGAGTAAATTACACTCCTTTCCATGTACTAYGATTTAAGGGTGAAAATGGATCTGGGGGGTTTCTTTGTTTTCTTCTGCAGCAAAGCTACAAAGCATAAAGTACTGTTTTAAGTGAAGTGTTTCATAAATATGAAATTATTTATTTTGATCACCAATGCCAGTCAAATAAATAAGGAATGAGGGCATTTTTTGTATGTCTAGAAAAAAACAGGCATAGTTGCTTTAAATTTTCCAGGCATCTATTTTATATTGTTAATACAATGCATACCCAGTTTGGCACATAGGCTTTCAGAGCAATGGTTGTGTTTGGTTTTGGGTTTTTTTGTTTCCAATTTGAAATGGATATCTAAACAGCATTTATTTTCCAGTCAACAACCTAGTTGGCAGAAATAGCCATGGTTGAAAACATTTTTTTTTAATGTCAGCTTCCCTTTCTTAGTGATTTACCTTCTTATTTAGTGGKCCTTTTCAAAAGTAAAGGCTCTTCTTGATGTTTCATTGGGGTTTCCTTTCAATAGGAAGCGATATTTTGAAATATTTTGTTACAGTGAATTACTTCAAWTTGCAAGTGTTTTCCTTTGGCAAGCAGGGCATGTTGGGAGTTGATGGGGATGGTTTGACACCCAGCCCAGCCTTTGGGAACACAGGGTACACTTCTGTTGTGGAAAGGGCATTTTGATTGCAGTGGAAAGAGTTCTAAGTGATTAAGAGTAATCCTTTACTGTTGCTATTGGAATGGCCTGGAGAAATGCTTATGCCTGGCATAACCAGCAGTATTTCCAAAGAGCCTGTTGCAGCCAGGAATGTATTTGTGAGCTGATGTGCCGACCTGGAATTGTGCTTCTGTTGGCTTTTAAAAATAATTTTGTAAAGTTTTAGGGTATGTTTATCTTCCTGTGATGTTAGGAACACGATAAACACTGCTTCAGAAATAGTATCTCTTTACTTTCATGCTTGACATGTCTTTTCCTCAAGGCCAGTCAGCATTGCTTATCCCATGCTCCTCAGGTTTTCAGTTGGGATATCTTTGTGAAGTGTTAAAAACTTCAGCAAACAGCCATCCGTGCAGTTCACAGCCCTGGGACAGAGGCTGGCAGCACACTCTGGTTGGTTTTTGTTTGGGTYTTTCTTTTTTTGGTTTTCTGGTGGRTTTTTTAAAACAAGTGTTAAAACTGAACTGCTGCCAAGCAAGGGTTGGGGAGAGCAARTATGTGAAGGTAGATGAATACCTGGTAATTGCTTTTCTAAAGACTTTGATAGGAAATGCCCAACAACCTCCAGGCAGAAAGCTGCTAAAATCAGTTGTGCAAAACAAAAAACCCARAGAGGCTTCAAAAAATGCTGCTGATGCCAGTGTCTGGGTAAAATCTTTTCTAACTTAGTCATATTTTTTAACTAAGGCAGTATATATTTTTTTCTACTCTGGCTTCCTGTAGCTTTCTGCTGCAGCTTCCTTGGGCTGCACTAAGGAAGCTTTWGCCATTGCCTGTCTAAAAGGAATCCCATCTAATTAGGTGGAGTCTAACAGGATGTGGGTAATTTCCCAGAGCTGTGATTTACCTGTAACCACTCCAGAACSCCATGGAAGGGCTGTGAGGGCGACCTGACCAGGGATGTGATTGCARACAGCCATGAGAAGGGAAGGCAGTGTAGCAGCAGTGATGGGACTTACTCTGGAAAGCTGAACCTGCATGTTCCAAATGTGAACACTGATATTGGTGTCAAGAACATGTCTGTGTATTTTGTACTGCATTTTATTTCTAGGATAAAGAAAAACAACTTCTTCACTTTTAAAAAATCTTTATTCCAGAGTCACAGACTAAGACAAAAGCTTACACAATAAAACATAACTCAGGCTCTTGACATTCCTGTTGGATTTCTAGCCCCTAAATGAGTTTCTACTTTGCTAAAAAAGGTTAAAGTTACCAATTTTCCATTAAACAACATCAAACCCCAAACCACAAACAAACCACCATTTCAAACCCTTCAGTTCTCCATGCTTTTAGTACCCACTGAAAGCAAACCTTTATGTAGCTGTGCTTGAATAAGGCTTCTCCCATTGGAAGTGTTACAGTCTGTAGGTACTGCACAAGGCACAAGGTTATTTGTTACGGCCTTGCAGAGCTCTTAGGGACAGAACAACCTTTGCCATGCTATTGTTCTGGAAGAAAGGATAAGAAATCTCCCCACACCAGATTAGTATTTTAAAYAGTTATTCCGTTTACAAGTGCTAAACTACACAGGCTAAATTCTTGTTCAAATACTCAAAAGTAAAAGACAATCTGATGGRAGACTCACTACACATGCTCTGAGGGGTGCTTATGATGGTCTCTCAACCTTAGCTTTTAGAACAYCAGCACCTGGCAAACAGTGGAATATATTTATTCAGTACATCTAATTTCATTCCCAAATATCAACTTTTCAGCCAGATTTTCAAACAGTTTTTTTTTCCCTTTGGATAATAAATTACTTATCAAAAAAACTACCCTCAAAGCTACTTCATACTATAACAACTCATAACTTAAAATTTTCATTTAAAAGATGAGGTCATGCTGCACGAATTTTAAGGCACTTGTATTAAACCAAGTTAAAGTGCTTTATGTATCCAAACTCACTGCATCTTAGCCTGAGCTGAGACACTCAGACATTGGTCTTTTTGATGTGCCTGCAGCAATACAGTGGTCTGTCCTTTGTGGAACAAAATAAGCAGACAAACAAAGTACAAAGGCCAGGCTTTAACAACAACAACAACGCCMGTCCCGTAGAGAAAATACAGGTAAATTTAAGTACCATTACAAAACAGGTGAAAGTTGCCTTGTGTCAATAACCCTCCCTTTGTAGAACAACAATTCTCCTCATGAAAAGGTAATTTATCAATCACTACTAGMAGCTGTCAGTGACAGAGTACACATGCCAAAATACGCAGAGGAGCAACTCCAGCTTCTTGCATAATAAACCGTATCAAAATTTGGCAGTGCTGAGACTGAAGGGCTGATTTTCTACTGAACTATCCACAGGGCCCCGTGAATTGTAATTGTGTTGCTTAATAAGAGGAGAGTTGCTTGGGTAGAAGAGCACTGCATCATGCAGCAGGAATGTAATTTAACTAATAACAGCACCTAGACATGTATGTGGGGGTCTTTTTTCAGGAAAATGAGGATGAAGAATGTGAGAAGTGACTTCTTTCATTGTCTTCTAGTGCTGCTTCTTGGCTGGAGGCTTGTAAGACACCAGGAGACCAAAGGAAGCATATCCAAACAAAAGGGTCTGAACRAACCATTGAAACTGAACTGCTGGGTCAGTGATGCCTTTAGATCTGTAACRTTAACAAAAGCATAAAATGTGTCAAAAAACTTATGCTCCTGCAGGCTATACTGGTACCTATAAAGTAAGGTTAGGTATCTCTACCTATCTTTGATATTCAGACTGGATTAGAACATTTCATCTTAGCACCATTAATTTCCATCTACTGAGACACTTCCTGTGCTAACACAACATACCAGTTCTTGTGGTTTTAGGATTTTRAGCTATTTACATAACTAAAGTTCTTTCAGACATTCTATGCATACAATTTCCTCGACAGTATATAAATTGCAATCTCAGTCTCTGCTATTTGAAAGGACAAGTTTGTGTACAAAAAGAAAGAAATTGGAGTAGCTTAATACTGATCTTAATACACAAGTCTGAATACAATTTCTTGTTGTCTGTGTTAACCAAGGTAGACTGTATGTTGGCAGGGCAGCGACCTGACAGTTACTGTGTGATGAAGGATGGAGAAGCACTGGTACCTGAATTTGTGGCTAGACAAAGGCAGGTAACAGGGCTGAAGGCAGTTAATTTATGGAGACCTTCCTCTTTTAGTTTTAACTTATGTGACTGTTTCTGTATGTTACAGAAAATGTAATTTTTCCTCCACTTCACTGTTCTTGAGATGTACTCCTACTGAAAGGAACAAGTACAAACATGACAGCAAACCCAAGGGATTTCACATTTCCAATGAACAATTCCATCAGGCATAGCTGTGCTATTTTGTTTATAATCCCAGCTGCAGTGTTTTCATGTTAGTGCAGAAAYTGGAAAACAAGGGCTTAAGAAATTTACCTGTTACTACAAAGCAAGCTTCATTAATAGACCGTATGTAGCAATACAAGCCTACAGCTGATGTCAATACTATCGACAACAAATTGTATCTGAGTCCTCACAGTTTTTCCTTATGCCTTTTCATGATGTTGCCAAGTTGACATCACTTTGACATCATTAAAAATAAATAGTGTTTGRTGCTATAGAAGAATAGCAGCACTCCTGATGAGATGATGATGGGCAGGCCATCTGTGCTCTCTTTTTTGTGTGCTTTAACAYTACTGTGTAAAACTTCATTAGTTAATTACAATACACTCATTTGGTATGTTCACTGGTAGTCAAGTTTCCTCATAATTAAAAGAATCACCTTAAGCCCAGATACCCACCCATCTGCACACTCAGACTGAAAGTTTTAAGTTTAAAGCTATGTAACTTAAAACATGAGCCTGACAAAAACAAAATTATTACTAGCTCTCATTCTGAAGGGAGAAATTTTCATGCATATTCTACTATCTTAAAAAAAAAGCCTTATACAGCATTCCATGAAACAAAATCCCGTTGCTTCCAAGAGCTGTTACCTGAGAAGCCTGGGACAGACAGCGGTGAATGACCCAGTAAAGTGAAAACCCATCATTTTTATGATGGCAAACAGACTGGCCACCTACTCTGCAGAGCATAAGAACCAGTATCTGCATTCTTCTCAATTACTGCAACCACAAGTTMATCGAACAGAAGGGTGATGTGTTTGGACCCCTTTCCAGGTAAATTGTTATCCTAAAGTAAGATTTAGTTGGCCTTGCTTGTATCGTCTGATTAGTTCAGATATTTTATCCCACAAATAGATCCTAAACAGTCCTCAAATGAAAGTGTCCAATTGTATTCACACAATACAGATGCAATTGTTTTAAGCGTGTAATTGGCAGCATTGAAATCCTGATGAAGTTAAGATCTGATAAAAGTGTAACACCTGAAGTTATCTAAACATTTCTACCCTATGTATTGCTCCCTGTGCCTCCTGTGCAGCAGTGCTGCCCAGTGAACAGGGAGCTCAGGCAGCCAGACCAGCCCTTGGCAAACCTTGCTGCCCACTGAACAGGGAGCTCAGAGACAGCCAGACCAGCCCTTGGCAAATCTTGCTGCTGCCAGCTCTGCCAGTTACCCACCCTTGGTTCTGCTGCCCTGCACTACAGAAACCACTGAAGAACTGGCAGTAAACTGGGGAGCACAGCAACTATCACTGCAGGAAGGATTTTACCAGTATCCTCTGATTTCATACTGCTGCTGAGAGCCACCAAAATCAGTCTGTAGCTTATGTCACTTGATTCAGAAATCTTTTTCAGAGAACCCATGTGCGAGAGGAGGGAACAACTTACTGGCATAACTTAATACCGTAGAGGGCTTCCACTATGTGGATCAACCAGGACACCCAGAACCTGGTGGAAAGAAAACATGGTTTATTGTGTTGAAAATCAGGGAGAAGACTTGTATTCAAGAYGCATTATGCAGAGAATATAAAACTGGAAGCTCTGAAGTGGTATCTTATTTTAACCTAGAAAGGGAGAGGTGKTTTTCATCTTAAAAAACCCTCATGTGTGTACACTTCAAAGAAACTGAAGTCCACTGAGAAAATCAGAGCAACTAACTTGTGCAATATACCTTGATCAGCTATTTGAAACACCCAAAACTTTCAGCACTTAGATTAAGACAAAAAGCCTAATGCTTAGTGAAAGCAGTATAAGATAATCTTAGTTAAGCATGCAAAATCTATCCTTTTACTTACACAAGTATTTTTAGTGGTCCTAAGGAGCTACTTAGGTTTTTACAGATTTAGTTCTAGGAAAACAACTGTGTGTATAGATTCAGAATATGTAATGTAACTTGATAAGCCATGCTTGGCCTACAAATTTTTATATAGAAGCTTTTGTTAAAAAAAAAAAAAAAAGTTACATGGGATATTCAGTTAGAATCAATTCAATACCTTGTGGTAAAGCAAAAGATGCTGAGAAAAAATGAGGGCTCTACATGAAGCATGGTAAAATAAAAGAAAGCCCTATTGATTTCTGTCTTTACAGGAAGTCAGTATTTTCCAGCTCTTCTGTTAAATAAAGTAGCAAAATCTAAGTTTTGTAACTCGGTAACATTTAGCACTTTGCAGTTTGTTCAGCAGGTTATTTCTCATGTGGACAGGACCAGGATAAGTGAGTACCAGGGTAGAAAATGTTCTTAAATTGAAACTTTCAGTAGGTGGTACAAGTATAACTCTGGACTAGTAACTGTCATGTAAAGTAGTATCTTACTCTTTTTCCATTTCTTGCTAAAACATCACTGATGCCAAATTCTAAGTTGAATTTTTAAACTATCGAACTGGTTTTACCCTGTCTAGTCTTCTATATACTTATTACTCCACACCCTTAATTGTAATGAGCTTGACAGRAGAGCTCTTTAAATCTAATTAACAACTGGGTTACAGGAAAGCTTGTTAACACAGACTAAGTGCAAGAGTCAGAGGCAAAATAATTACAGTCAAATATAACTTACCCGTAGCATACCCACTTGTGGTGGTGTTCCACTAAATAATTAAGGAAGGTACCAAATAATCCCAAGTAACTATAAGGTATAGTTGAAGGCCAAAGTGTTACCCACTAAAAAAAAAACAAAAAACAAAACTTACTTCAAGGCAAAATATTATCAATTCAATCTTCAAAAGGGGTTTATTTTTGCTCCCTCACTCCCCATGTCCATGGTTTAGGGCTCATTTATTCATAGTACTTCAATTCTTTCATTCCATTAACCTTGTCCAAGRCCCATATTTTTCTAGTAGCCTTTCAAAGATTCCAACTATGGAATCTGACAAGATGTCAGGGTGATAAGTTTAAGGTTGCTGTCTGGGTACCAAGAGTGCATCTGCACATTAAATGGCATTTAACTTGTAAGCTCATTACCTATTAGACATGGAAGCTGCAAAAACTACTTTGTCCTTAAGAAGTTAATCTGAGACAAGGGACCTGAAGAAGCCAAACAATGAATACACTGTTTAGGAAGAGTAACTATTTCTCTAAAATTAGGGGATCAATCTTTCTTCTTYTGTCCCTTAAAAAAGAAAATGTCGGGTTTTAATTTTTAACTAGGCAAGAAGACAGGTGAGCACAAATTCAGAGATGCAGAGTTTCTTTCCAGGTTTCTTTCCTGTCACAGAGCCATCCGCAGTGTTCACCACTGCGCACCCTGATTTTCACAATCTGGGGAGGAGATGCAGGCAGTGATGAGCTGTGCACTTCAGAGTCCACTGGGGACGTAAGGTGAACTCAGGCCAGGCCAAAGGTCACACTGCCTTATCTTGCTTCTGCTATCAATGCTGCAGTTTCTCACTACATGTAAATTTAGCTATGCCAAGGCTGCGGCAAGATGATGGGTTTCAACAGGGAATCTGCTTAGAGCTCGTTCTGTTTCTTGAAGCAGTCCAAAATGTTTTGTAGCTGCTTGGCCTGCCTTGACCATCATTTTTTCAGCGATGATTAAGTTTAGAAAATCCATGCAAACAGAAGGAAAATCACAACGTGTSAAAGTCAATGGATTACTTCCACAAACTTTTCAGATACATCAAAACTGACATTACTATCCCTGCTCCGATAATCCAACCTATTTCCGATGAAGTTTTTTTTTAGAAATTAACACAACATGGTGACTGAACTCGTGTGTTCAGCACCACCAGTTCGTCCAGCACCTGTAAATGCACCTTACGGACTGACACGCCCCACAGCTGTCCCGGAGCGATGTGTGCCGATGCTCAGTGCCTCAATTCCCCGGTTTGGGAACGCTGCAGCCCTACTCCTAGGGCACCTGTCCCGCAAACCCTCGCTCGGTGCCAGGATGCTCTGACCGCCATCGGGACGCGCCTCCAGCGCCACGGCCTCGCTCCCCTCCGCAGGCCGAGTGCTTTCTCACTCTCTCTGGCCTTCCTGCACGCCTCTGTCCTCCTCCTCCCTGCCTGGCCAAAGCAGCACCTCTACTTTCCTTTTTCTCCCAGTTTATTTTAGGAAGCGGCGTTTCCTCGGACACCGGGACGGTGCAGGAAGCCCGTTCCACGCACCCCGCGGTTCCCGACCTCCCTCCCTCCCCGCTCCGCTCCTTACGCCGAGGAGGACCATGCCGAAGATGATGGCGAYCATCCAGATGAGCCGGGAGCGCTGGAAGTGGCAGCTGCCATCACGGCCACGCTCCGCCGCCGCCGCCATCCCTTCGGGCCGCGCTGTGCTGTGCTCCCGGGCCGCGCCGCCGCCGCTAAGGCCGGGCTGGGGAGGGCGGGGCCGGGGCGGGGCCGGGCTGTGCCACCGCGCGGGGCGGAGCGGGGGGAGCGGCACTGCCCACGGGCCCGGGGCGAGGGGCGGGGTGGCCGGGGCTGGCAGGAGCCGCGGCGTTACCGGGTCCTGCACTTTGGCCTCTACAGGCCCGGGCACAGTGCCTGGAAAGTGGCTCAGCGGAGAAAGACCGGGGATGCTCGTCAACACTGGCTGAACATGAGCGAGCAGTGTGCCCGTGTGGCCACGAAAGCCAATGGCATCCTGCCTGGATCAACAATAGTGTGGCCAGCAGGAGCAGGGAAGAAATTAACCCCCTGTGCTCGGCACTGGTGCGGCCACACCTCGAGTGCTGTGTCCTGTTCTGGGCCCCTCACCGCAAGAAACACTTTGAGAGTTGGAATGTGCCCTGAAAAGGGCAGCGGARCTGGGATGGGGTCTGGAACACATGTGAGGAGCAGCTGAGGGAGCTGAAATGTTCAGCCTGGGGAAAAGGAGGCTCAGGAGAGATTGTATCATTCTCTACCACTACCTGGAAGGAGGGTGTAGCCAGGTGGGAACTGGTGTCTTGTCCCAGGCAGAATAAGAGGACATAGTCTAAAACTGCACCAGGGGAGATTTTGGGTAATGAGACATTGGAACGGGCTGCCCAGGGGGGTGGATGTGGTGGGATCACCATCCCTGGAGGTGTTTTAAGAAAAGATTGAACATGGCGCTCAGTGCCATGGTCTAGTTGACAAGGTGGTGTTCAGTCAGACTGGGCTCGATTATCTCAAAGGTCTTTTCCAGTCTAATCGATTCTGTGATTCTGTACCGAACGCAGTGGGGAACAGCACAGAAGCTGAAGTGAGCTTTTCACCTTGATTCCCTGCCATTTCTCTACGCGGTCTGCTCAGGGGTGGAGAGAGTGTAGGAAATGGGACAATCGCAGCCGGTGCGGCCCGAGGCGCCCCCGCTGTTGCAGCTACCGGAGCGCCCTCTTGTGGCAGCGAGCGGGCGGTGTCCCGGWGCCGGCAGCGAGCCGGGCTGTCGCTGCCATTCGCGCGGTGTCCCTGCCGCAGCACACCCGCGCTCACGGACTGCCGTAGCGTTCACTACTCGGGTAAAACAAACACCTGATGAACTTCCTACCACTGAGCAGTTCAGTCCTTATTGAAAATAGTACACAGTACTTGCCCTTTTGAAAGCTACCGACTCAAAGCGTATTAAATCCAGCATTATCTATTCTGTGCYCTTTTGGGACTGTGGTCTCGGTGATGAGTCATCAGGGCCTTGGGAACGGTGTTCAGGGGTAGAAATGTTGGGGGGTGGGATGGGGGGGCTCATGCTGTCCTTTGAGCTTTGCTACCTGTTTGTTTGGCATGACTTTGATAGTGGAGACAGTGAGAAATGTTGACCGTGCTCTTCTTTCTCCTTGCCTAAAGGCTAAACACGCTGCTCTGTTAATTATGTGTTAACGATGTGCCTGTAAAGCTGTTGTTCTCTGTAACAACTAATGTAGCAAGTCATGACATTTCCCCAGCATGAGCCCTGTGTTGCAGAAAATGGTCACTATAGAGGGGATTGAGTTTTCGTGTCTATTCTGTCCTGGGACTGGTTTGTTTCCCTGTCTCTATTTCATTCCTGTCTATTCCTGCCTAAAGCACTGTGCTTTTCTCTTCCCCCCGCCCCGCCCCGCCCCGCCGCCCCGCCCCGCCTCCTTTTTCTGGGACGTTCTTTGGAGATTACAGAAGAATTTGGTAAAAAAAATCCAGCAGTGGTAAAACAATTGCTGGGAATCCATCTACAAAACCTAGTGAGGTTGGCCATGCAGAATTACACCTGCTTAATAAATTTCCCTGGGTTGTTTTGCTGATGCAGGAAAGAAGAGTGTGTGGTCCCAATAGCATCTTAGTATCTGGGATGAATTTCTAAAATTGAACTTTTTTGTTTTTTTCGGGGGCGGGGTTGATGGTTTGTTTGTGGAGGCTTTTTTTTGTAGCCCATTACTTAAGCTGTTCCTCTTTAGAGCATTGTGCCCCGTTGCCTCTGCCTGCCTGTAATGCCACGTGCGGAGGTGCTGCTGAGATCCTGATGGGCCGAGCTTTGTGGTGGGAGTGCCTGGCACTGCCCCGCACACGGAGRGCGCTCCTTGCCCACGCACCAGGAGCCCCACCTAAGGTCACAGCAAGGCAGGTGTTTGGGAATGCGGTCAAAAAGCAGCTCCCGGCTGTAGGGATAGCCACGCCGCAGCCTGCAGAGGGCAGTGGATGCACAGCGAAGGCACTGCCTGTCAGTGACCCGGCGCTGCTGCAGCGTTTGCCTCCTTGGACTGGCTTTGGTGACCRCAAGTGGCCAGGGGAGGTCAGAGAGGATGTCATGTCACCCCTACTGCCCCACTCCAGTGAGCGCCACCCTCACTGTCACATCGTAGGCGGAGGACAGAGAGCTGGCTAAATTTATTTCTCTGTTGCCAAAAATAGTTGATTTATCTTTTTATTAGGTGATGTTCTTCCAGCTTCATGTGTGGCAGTGGYCCCCACTGGCTGCCAGCCCTGTTGACAGGCACGGGTAGCTCTGCCAGCCCTGGGCATCTCAACAGCCTGAACGTGAAACAGTTCCTGAAGACAAACGCCCTGATCAGACCTTTTGTGGGGGATGGATTTTCAGAGGTTGCATTTCTAATCCAGGACAGTGTCTTTGACCCGACTTTTTAAAAAGGCTGYTTCTCATGACAAAGAGGAGAGTCTTTGGAATGTTTAAGCTGAATAGAGTTCCAGTTTTAATAATTTAGAGCCAGGAGACTTGTAGCATCACCAAGTCTGGCCAGTACAGGCCGTTAAATACTATCTTGTTTCTCTGAATAGAGGTCAGTGACTTGCACCTACTTAAAGGATACTTTTCAAGGGACATTTTGTCTTACTTTGAAGGTGTCATAAAACAGAAAGTCCACTGCTTTCAGTGATTAATCTTTCTTATGCTTAAGTGTTGCTASATATACCTAACAACTAATTTTAAGGCAGTCATTTTCCAGAGTAGCTAAAAATCTTGCTTTACCATATTTTGTGAAGGTTTGCCATTTTGCCCTCATATTTTTGACAGATTAGCTCTCTTTGTGGCTTCAACCCTGGAAATGTTACTTGTCAGAGAATTGCATTTATTGACAGGTATAATCAAAACTGGAAACTACAAATCCCAAACASTGTTATGTGAATTATGGAAAAAAATGCAGAACAAATTCACTTTGCCAAGTTTACAGGATATAGAAACATTGCACTGTAACTCCTGAGATTTCTGCTTTGATTTCCTTTCCTTTAATCCTGATCAGTGCCAAAAAGTGAGTGAATGGCATGCTGTTATGAACTGGCAGCTCTCAACAGCAGGCTACACCCCAGAACACCACCAAGGCTGAGTGCAGACAGCTGGCAGCTCTGGCCATGCTTAGCAGAAGGCAGATTTAGGTTTGTTGTTCAGAACACACATGTCAGTTGTGACAGGATTGCCACAGCTCCCTGTCCTTTCTCAGGCCTTTCCTGTGCTAGAGAACATGCAGATATTGGTAAGTAGCAATCAACACAACTGCCACCCTCATGACAGGGCTCTGTAAGCAGGTGGAGAAGCTGTGAGCTCTGGAGAAGGTGAGCTAGCCTAGCTATACCCTGCTGCAGGCTGCACAGTTTGATAAACTGAGTCTGGTTTGGCAGCAGCCAAGGCCATAGAAAAGAGGGAAAGTATAATCTTAAAAAAAAAAAAAAAAAGTTGGAAAGGTAAAAAAGCTTAACAAAGCTTATTCCCTCATAATTGCATGACTTTTTTCCTTGCATTGGCATTACTTGGTTTAGATTTCAAATTAGGATGGTATTAAAGCCTCAAAAGCTGAAAGAGATGTTCTTTATGAGATCAGCAGGTAAGGTAACCACATAGTACCACGAGAATGGGACATACAATTCTCTCTGAGGTTTCAAAGACAGCTACATTAATTTTTAAAAAATTGTTTGTTTTTTTTTTTCAAAATTGTAGCCAGGAGATCCTGAAGTCTCCATAGTGACGGTGTGTACACTGAGATAAGTTAGTTCTACTGAAACATCCAGATGGACCTTTGCATTCTTTCTGCTTAATCCCTGAGACATGGCTGGCTCATTTCACATGCTGTTTATATCAATAGATCACTTTCTTCAATTTTTAAATATTAAGGTTTTGTTGCACCTACTGGTGGAGAAAATGGCTCTCTCTTCAGTTTAGAAACATTTGCTATCTCTAACTTAGAGATATTGACTATCTCACTTCCATCGGGAAGTACAAAGGGTATTTGCCAGGTAGTCAGCCTCTTTTGTTTGGTGTTCTCAGTGGATGCCAGAGAATAGATAGAGACACGTTAGCTCTTCACTGTCTTTTAAAATTCCTTTTTAAAAAAAGGGGGGAGGAGGATTAGTCAAATTCAAAACAAATTTTATGGCGTGAGTCATCATGCTAGAGTCAGTAATGTGACTTGTTTAAMCAGCAACTTTCTGTATAAGCACGGATTTAGGCATTTGACTTCTTTTAGGAAGCTACTTGGAAACAAACTGGACCTAGTTTTAAACTGGATTTGAAGCTTGTATGTAAGAGATGAGATGCATTCAGGGAAAGTTACCTAAGGAAATAGAATTATCAACAGGACTTYTTTTTGAATCAGAGATAAATGACAYAATGCTATAATGAAACTACTTCAAGCAATGTCTAATTCCTGCTGTAGCTAGTTAACCTGACTATTCCCCTGTTATTTTTTATTTTTTAGTGGGTAGTCAAAGTTCTATCACCTAAACCTTTTAGTTCTAAGACCAGAGAAGCTAAGGAAAAGCACGGTCTTTAAAAATATTTCATGTTGCAGTTTGACAGGCATATTTCATGTGGCAGTTTGACAGGCATTACATTTTTGAGGCTAATGGTCAGGATTTTCAGCAGATCCCCATACTTGCAGAAAATGTTAAGTGTAATAAGATGTGTATAGGAAGAAACAATGTGGTTGCTGTAGTGA